GAAGAAAGCATAACTAATTCAAGATTGTTTTTTTCTTTATAAAGCAAAACTTTTAAGATTATATTAATTGATTTTAACCAGTAAACAAATGAAACAAAACTGTTCTTCTGGTAATCAGCCTTATAATTCCTTAAAAATTAATAAAGGAAAGGGAAGTTTCAATACAAGACAGAGCAATCCCAAATATTATCTTTCAAATTATGAAAACATGAATCTCAAAATATAGTATTGCTGTGTAATGTACCTTTTAGACAAATGCACAGAAGACATGGAAGAAGCAGCAAACAATAATAGTGCAGTATAATTACATGAAGCCTACTTTCCTTGAAAAATAAAATTAATGAAATGCTACTATGTGTTCTGTAACAGGGTTATAGTCTGTAGTCATGCAGTCAGAGACCTGACGGGGCAGTGACTAAAAAGATTACACAAACGAGACTGAGGATAAAAAGTAGAGTCAAATGTTAAAACTGAATGACAACATTGCATGAAAATATTTAATCTTATAGTGTTCAGACAGGAAAATAGAAGGTGAAGTCCCAATTAATGTAAGTGGTAGTACTTTTCCTAGTGTCTGTATAGATAGTGTCATTTACACTAGCTTAGGGTTTGTCATTGCTTTTTGAATATTTTCTTTCTTTTTTTTCCACATGTGGCCATGATATTTTTTCCTTTGGAGTTCTACTCCTGCAATTTTTTTTCCTTACACATGTTTGCAATAGTCTGTCATATCATCATTTCCTTGCAGCAGCCAGTTTGCTATCTCAGACCATTACAGTTTCAGGGGAAAGAAAAAACAGCAGGAGCAAATGAGTGCCTCATCACAAAAGTCTTGCAAAGAGGGACTAATTTAAAAAAAATGGGGAAAAATAGAAATAGAACATGTAGAAAGAACAGTTCCTCCCACCCCCAACTTGGGCTAATGTAGATTAGTTCATCTCTTTTTAATTAAGAAAAACAATAAAGAGTTATCTGTAAAGCACTGTCTAATCTAAGCAATATTTTGGTCAAAAAAATGCAGGATTGTAGCCAAATGCAATAACGATGAAGTAATTAAACTAAAATGGCAGTATGTCATTTAAGTCGTTACTTGTGTAATGATTTAATCAAATAATTTAAAAATAAATACAATATTTTTCCCATGTCACCCAAATTTGGTGTCTTGGTAATTTGGTTTATGCAAATCAGGGACCTTGATCATGCAGATGGTCCTTTCCCTCACTGACTTGCACCATTTATACCAATGCAACTATTTACACCAATAAAATTTTGCAAAACATGAATTGGGGAAAGGATAATTCAGGTATCTAGTTGCAAGACAAAATTAGAACATTTCAAAGTATAAATCTGATACTTAATTCCCAAAAGCTTATTTTTAAGAAATGCCATCAAATTGTTTTCTAGCTGATCATCTGAGAAATGGGTGTATGTTCTAAGCGTAAATATTTTCCAGTATCTCTTTCTATTATGGCACAGCCCCACAGCCCTTTTTTCCTGACTTAAGATTTCTTTTCTTACTAACATTTTGTGACTTAATGAATTGTTTTGGGGCTGGGTGAGTTAGAGACAAAAACTCAAGGGAAAGTGACGCAAATGGCTTGGGAAAAGCAAATTGAAACGACTCTAAGTGCTACATTGTAAAGGTCTAATTATCCTGCACATTAAAAAAAAGTTTGGTTGTTGACTTTGGCATGGTTGATAAACAGGAAGATTTGACAAGACTGCTCATAGTCAGAATGTGAACAGTCACAGTAATTTGTTAATCCACTTAAAACCCTTTTTTGCATAAAATTCCTGTGAGCAACTCAGGATAGAAAAAGGGACTGTGCTAATTCTTAGAGACAGTTGTGTCGAATTGGGCTAAAGAACATTGTGAAGTAATAACTCATTCTGTAATAAATCGTACTGTACATTTTACAGGGAAAAAAATTCATCTGGTTTCTTAGGTTCTCATTCTGGATCTTTAGACGGTATTACATGTACTTAAAAAAAAGCTATACAACAGCATTGCCTTTTGTGAGCTGCAGTGAAGCATTCTTAAGCAGAAATATGAATGCTCTCATTAAACTATTCAATCACTGTTCCATTAGGAATAGCAAATGTTTATTAAAAAAGGTCACAGGAAAAAAAATCAACACAGCTTTCTGGGAGGCTTGGAAGCACATTAAGTGTGGGAGTTCATAGAGCTGCTGAGCTGCAAGGTAATAGTTGGACTGAGAACAAGATGCAGCAACATGCTGTGGGCTTGTTTGACTGTAAATGATTTGGAGTTGGATGAGTATTCTTGTGTGCAAAATCTGTTCCTTAGCGACAGAGGAGTAGTGAGAACCGATTTGGTGAAACTCACACAGAGCGTTCTGAGTCACGGCTATGCTTTCTGTTTGGGGGTGCAGTGGAGCATCACAGCAGTGCTGGCAGTGGGTAGGCAGGACCTTCAGGGTTTTCCTCCTACATCTGGCACAGGATTTTTTGTGGCCCTGCACTAATGAGCTGAGTTAATCCTCTTGGGCAAAGAAGGCAGCACCAGGAGATCCTGATTATAGCACTCACTGAGATCTGTTATTACTCAGCTGCCTGGGGCAGAGAAGCAGCCACGCAGGGTGAGCTCCAGCATGGGAAAGAGGGAGAGCAACAGAGTTCTGGCATCTCCTCTACAAGTCTACCAGCATATGTAGTCCTGTCAAAGGCTGGCTCTTACAGCCACCTTTTGAGGTTCATTTGTACATAACTTTTTGAGTATACCATAAAGACAGACATTTCTTGGAGTGAGATTTGTTTCTGAACTTTCCTGCTTTACTTTCACTGTCTGTACAGCAGAAGCTGGTAATCTATTTACCTGACAAAAACATTGTGTAGATAAGAGTTTTGTCATGTATTTGAAGTGAGAGACTTCAAATATGTGAACTATTCAAATACATTTTAAAATATTATTACACAGTAATTTTCAGTAGAGTTCTGCCAAATTCTGTCCAGGTAAGGAACTTAGCTTGTAACTATTTTTTTTTTGCTGTTTTAACACTTGCTTCCAAACACTCACCCAACTCTACTTTCCTATTATACTTTGTTTACATATTTTACATGTAGTTCATTAAGACACAGGGTTGAGCTTGACATGTGATTCTTATCTGAATTTATCATCTTTGTTTGTTGATTTAAATTGCATTAATAGTAATTTGAGGACCACAGTCCAGAATCAGTGATTCAGTTTCATTTTTTGCACCTGTTTTAACTCACAGAACAGATGAGTTAAATGCAAAATCATGTATTTGCATAAATTTACTAGTAAAAAAATACCAGAAGAGGATATACAAAGCAGAATGCTGGAATATTCCAAACCAAAATACTTTTTATTCTCTGCTGATTTGGTAGATGTAAGCACTAAGTCTAAACACCTGCCTATTTTGTTTCACTGTATTTTGATGTAGGACTTCCGTTTGTTTCAGCATTAGAGCTATGTTTGTTATGACATTAAGGATCTGAGAAATTTCTTTTCTGTTTGTCTTATTTAAAATAGTTGTTCCTTGACACAGAGTCCTGCCCTGAATTTAATTGTTTAATAGATTACAATTTCTCCTTTTCCAAAATGAAATAGACATGCCTGCAGCAAAACAGTTTTCTGATATCCTGATCCTGTCCAAGATGAAAACAGTCATGGCAATGAATTTATTCTGCAAAATTCTTACAACTTTGGTTCAAGACTTAATAATTATAAGTCTTGCCAAGAATTACCCTTCCTTCAGTTCCATTCGGCAAATTTTCTGAAGTCCCTATATGCAGTACTTAGAATCCTGTTTGTTATATGTAGTATAAGGGGTATATATAGTTCATGAATAGTATTAACAAGAATTGGAAGATTTAGAAGCTTCTTTTTGCAGAACTCTGGAACACTTTACAGTGGAAGATGATATTATAAATGTGTACAGTCTTGGGTTTCATGCTGAATACGTTGCAGAATGACAAAAACTTGGTAGCTTGACCTGCACATACGATGGGGAGAGAGAGGAGGGATGGTAGAGTGATGAATAATAAAGAAAAGAGGAGATTTGTTTTGGGGCCATGAAGAAATTGAGAGGTTTTGGGTTTTCTTCTTACACTGCAAAACTTTAGTGATTCCCTCCTCCTTCCCCCTCGAGGTTTTGTTTTCATCCAGATTTTCGAGGTGGTTCCAGCGGTAGCTTACATGGAAATCTCTCCATTTAGAAGCCCTCAAATTTAGTTTATTGACTGTTGTCTATTGCTTATTACTTGCTGCTGGGGAAGGAAGCAGTATTGATGATTACTGTAGTAGAAGGCCTATTTGTCCTTTATTCCTACACTGTTACATCAAATCTGATTTGTTATATAGGAAGAGTTCCATACAAAGATTATGATGTGTTATTTACAACCCTTCAGCGTGTTTTAGTCTTTTATAGGTGCAGACTAAATTTTTCTTTTATCCGTACAAAAAGTATCTGATAGTGGTATTAAATTTCAGCTATAGAAGTGCAGAGAACATGCTGTGTGGCAGAGTGAGTGCATGAACAATTGCCACTGGGAACTAGCACCTCTGTCTGTTTTATCCATTTTCCCTCTTTTTGTTTTTAAGTAATCAAAGCAATTTATTTTCTGTATCTCAATTTCTTGATCTGTGTAACAGCAAGAGTAAATTACCTGTATATGGACTAAGCTGTGTCAAGTGCTCAGAAACTCCCTCTGGCAAAACTCAGTGCATCTTCAGAATATTATTTATCAGCTCCAGCAGCTCTGCCTCAAACACTCAACTTCTTTACAAAGGTATTAGTGCCAGCTGGTTAATCCTTTTTGTTGTAGGTATTTTTACTTTCCTAGCTTTGTTGCACTAAAAGTTGGCCCTCAAGCATCTCTCTAGATGAATTTGACAACACTGGAGGAATGACTTCACTCTGTTTAAAAGCTTCATTTTGTATGATTTCTGTTACATTTGGGATTCGACGGTGGGGTTTGGTTTCATTTTTTTTTTAATGTAACTCTTTGTTTTACAGATGAGGGCAGGAACGCAGTTGACCATGCAGGTGGTGCACATATTGTAGTAGACCATTTAAGGTCACTGTGCAGTAAAACAGATCCAGCCAGTGAGAAGCTCTTGACTGTCTTTTGTGGCATGCTGATGAACTATAGCAATGAGAATGGTAAACAACACCGAAAATTTGCTTTATGTCTACCAGGAGAACAACCCCAACAAAAAAAGATAAAAAGTTAAAATCATCTGTAGGTTTACATTGTGGATGCTTAACACTGAGTTATTCTGAAGAGATCAGGGACTTCAATTCAGACATATAATTTTCTGTTTCAGTAAAATTATGTTCCCAAAAATACTAGATATATTCCTGACACAATTCTATATAACATAAATTATGTAAAGTTTTAAGATCAGCATCTGGAATTTAATTTACTTCTTTGTCTAAAAGCAAAGCATAAAGATGTATCATACAGATTTACAGAAGGTAATTAGAAGTCTACATTAAGTCCTTTCTTTCTCCTTAGTATCAAATAACATCATAAGACTAATTCGTTGCAAACATGCAGTATTGTTAATTATTTAAGGGTATGTATGCCAAACAGTTAGTATTTTTTCTCCTGTGGAATGTATATAAAACCATATGTTACATTGTTCTAAGATAAATGGGGAATCATTTATAGGTATGTTCAACACCGTTCTGTGTCTAAAAATTATAAGTTTATGTTCATTATACCATTAATTGAAGATGTTTAGAGACTGGGACAAAAACATGAGAGTACATTAAATAAGAAACCCTGGACCACTGAGAGTAACACAATAGCATTCTACATTAGTTGTACAAACTAGTACCTAGCTTGCTTCTACACACAAGTGTTTTAATATGCCAAAATATATTTACAGCATTCGCAGATTTTCAAGTTTTCAAAATGTGAAGAAAATTGGAATACATTAGGAAGGCTAGAGAGGCTGCTCTCCTGACTTGCTATGGCACAAATTGCAAATATAGTTAGTAATTACATTAATGCCCATTTCCTGAATTCCAGTATTCCATCTTAGGAAGAAATATCTTCTTTATTAGTTACTCACTATTTCCTGAAAGATAGCACTTGCTGTAACTCACTTTCCAATCTTATGTCCCCAAAACTGTTCTACTTTTCAGGATGGTCCATGGGCTTTATTGTATACATTTTTAATCTGCTTTATCATCTCTTCTAGCATAGTTTCCATGTGTGTTTTCTGTGCCATCTCTCTGGAGATCTCAGCTCTTTGTGTTATTCATCCAGCTCCAAATATAACTGTTGTATGTGTCTCATCTCTTTTGCTTGTTCTTACATTGGGTTTTTTCCTCCTCTTTTCTCTGTATTATCTAAGAATTCTTGTTTACAGTACTTCTTCCATCTTCTCTAAATAGCAACTTTCTAGTTCCTTCATTTCATATTGTTTCCAGGGACTGTTTTGCTTGACCACTTTGCACGAGTATCATATTTATTATATTTCATAGTGTTAACTCAGTACTTTCCTTTGTTACAATGTTTGGAGCAAATAGATATTCTCACCTCTAAGCTACCAGAATGCTCTGCATTAATTAAGACTAATGAGCATGCAGTATACTTGGTAGCTCAAGACAGATAAATCCAAAAGCAATGTGTAGAGATACTGTTACCAGTTTTGCTTCAGTGACTGAGCTCCCAGCAGATCTTCTCTAGGAAAACTAATTATGAGATAAATCTCCCAAACAAGCAGCTTCTGAACAGCTTAACTCTTAGGAACATTGAATAAATGACTCATTCCATCTAGTAAGATAGCTTATTCTGAGGCAATCAATAAAGCAGTTCTGTGGTTCAGTGACAGCCAGGAGGAATCACTAGGTGCTCTCCTCTCTGTTAAAGGACGTTTTTCATCTCACACACTCTGTTCACAGGAGCCACTGAAGCAGTGTCAGAAGTGAGAAATACAGGAGTATTCTAAGCTCTTGGATCAGGGTGCTCACCAGCTCTGTGTTCTACCATCACATCAGGGAGGAGTGCTGGGGGTTTACCAAACATCCACTTTACCCTGCGTACTTGGTTGTCTCCATGAGGAAGGGTCCCCTTTGTAGGAACCCAGCTCATATTTAGCCTAGCATTCATGGGCAGGCTGTGTAAGATTTGTGTCCTCTAGTTCCATTGTGAATTTTCTCACTGACTGGGGCAACCATTGAATTAAACCCCAAATAATAGGCCAAATCAATATCTAAAAAAAAGTGATTAAACGGACTAAAATTTTAGAAGAAAATTCAGTGACCATACCTGTAGCATGTGAATGGAGAAACGAGTAGTTGACCTGTGTTGCCAGTTTTAAGAGTCACTAGTACAACTGGACTGTAATTATGAGCTGATCTAAAAATATCACCTGTGGGCCATCGTTAATTTTCAGGACAGCAGTCAATGTCAGCTAGGAGCCCAAGACAACCACTTATTTCCATGCATTGCAGCAGCAGGTAAATAATATTCTGAGTAAATGCAGTTCTTTGCTGGCCTGTTAAACATCAAAGCTGAGATAGCCCTGACAGTTAATTGTGCTCACAGCTTAGTGAATACCATTTTTGGGATTTACTAACAAAGGTTTGATCCCAGCTACTTACAAAGAAGATAAACACTGCATTGGTTTTGCTGAAGGATGAGCAGTATGGGATTGCAGCCTAGAGTCACAGATTTCTTTATCTGTAGTTATGGAACCAATTGGACAAAAATAAAAAAAAAATATTAGGTAAGGAAGAAGTGTTTCAGTCTTTGAAATACCACTTCTGCATTCTCTTTTCATGTTTCTATAATCTTTTCTAGCTTGGCATGTTGTGTTAAAAAGTTACAGGTGGAGACTTGGAGGATTTCTTTAACTGCTCTTAATGACTTGCACTCTTCTAATTTGTACTAGCTGTCCAGATAAGGACCATTAAGGCGGAGATAGTTCTTAGTTGCATCTGATTATCTGTGAACACCCTAATATTTTCTAATCATCAGCATTTTATGAACAAAAGAGTATATGTATTGTTTTATTTGATTCTAGTTTGTCATTCCCAGTCAGTTAATTGCCCTCTTCTTCCAATAACTACTACTTTGTTATTAGTAACTATCAACTGCCTTGTTTTTTTAACAATGAGAGACTCAGTCTTGAGTACTTTAGGGCTTTATCACACATGAGTTTTACAAAAAAGGCAAATAAGGAGCAGCTACAAGTAAGACTTCCTTTTCCTAAACAGAGCAAATTAATGGAGCATTCTTGTATCTCATCCTGATTCTGGACACTCAGCTTGCAATTTTAACTCCAGTCATAACAATGTTATCTAAGCTTTAAAAATAGGATTCCTTTTACAAGGCTCTTGTGTCATCTGCTTGTGTTCAGGAATTATTTTTGCTTACTGTCTCTCAGTTCTTCCTTTGCTTCCTTGATATCATTTCATTAGTAACTACAATTGTTAAGACAACAAACTCAAATTTCGGCATTTCTTGCAGTTCTTTTAAGCTTTTAAAAAAAGTGTTGATATTTAATTGCACTGCTAGAAGTGAGGGGTTTTTTCTGATGGAAAACATCCCTTTGCCTTCAGCCCAGGTTATCTCAGACCTCTTGTCATAATTGTATTTTACTACCCAAGTTCAATCAGACACAAATAGCTCATCCCTGCTTTCAGTCATTAGCTTCTGTGTAGCTATTAATCTGCTTGAGAGCAAGAAGCAAAGCAGGCTTGGATAAAGAGGGGAAAACTAATAACTAATCAAATAAAACTAACAATCATTTGCAAACGCTCACGTAAAAGAGTTAGAAATATGAGTGGTTATTCTGCAGATCCCATAATCCTGTAAGCCAAGACTATTTGCAAGCTAATGGGATCAGTCCATAAGGTAAAGTAATTGTCTCTCGAGATCTGTAAAACAAACTATGGAGGCTTTTTAAATAAATGCAGAAATTATGGAAGAACTAAGCCAATTGGCTTATTAGGTAGTCAAATTGGAGATCAGAAGTTAACTGGATACAGTATGCATGTGTGAAAGTATTTATAAATATGAGCGTATATATGTAGATAAAAATTACGTTTATAGATTGCTGCCTCCTTTCATTTCATAGCAAACTTCAGTCTGTCAAGATTGTCTTTCCTTCAGCACCTTCATGAAAATATCCTGATGTTAAATCATACAACTGCTGAGCCTTTCTTATTCTCACAAAACTCTTAGCAACTGGAATGAATGTTGGGGTCTGATGTGCACTGTTGACCATCTGCAGAAGCTATGTAAATATAGAAGAAATGAAAGGGAGATTTATTGCACCATTATTATGGTCTGACAGCAATATTGCAGTAATGCTTCCTCCTAAGACTTACCTTCGCTAATTTTCATGCTTGTCATGGATTTTGTTTCATTTACATCACAGCTAGAGATGCCTAGCATGCTTTCAAGACCTAAATATACTTAATTGCAAAGTAACCTAAAGTGTGTAAGAGCAGATAAAAAGTATGTTCTTTACCATAGTGAGACAATCAGTACAATCACTTTTATATTCCGTCATGATTTAACATACCTGTGGGGATTGCAAGCAGGTTTCTCTAGCGTATGAAATTATGCCATCAGTCTGTACTTTTCCTTCAGCATTATAGTCACAGTTATTGATGGGACACAAATGATGAGTTGTTTTCTGAAATTCTTTTCAAAATCATGAATTAGCCTAAATCAACATTTTTAACTAAAATGTCCCCAGTAAAGTTCTTAATTTGGGATATTCTCCTCAGATCTTACTCTTTGGAGTTTCCATGTGTGTCACCGAAGGACATGGAGCCATTGAAATTCAAGTTTTAGGTAGGTAATTCTTTGTGCTGGCGCATGTATTGATTGCCTTTTATCTACCTGTATATGCATCTGTACAGCATCACTGTCAGTGCTTTTCACCCCAAAAGAACACACAGGCATACTGCAACATGTGATAGCAGTGTAAATGGTGGTTTTAAGTCATAAATTCATAAGAGGCATTCAGTTTTTCATGCTTCTTTCTCTCTATGTATAAAGTTCTGCTTAGGAAACGGACAGAAGTGCTGTTGCATCCTGAAACACAGCGTTGCCTGGCATCACAGCTTGCTTTGGTCCTGTGCCAGGCAACTGATTGTAGGAGGGATGCTTGTTTCCCCAAAATTGTCTCCTGCTCTAGTAGGGCACTTGACACTTCCTGCATAGAAAGGCCAAGATACACAGTTAGTCCAAGTTACACAGTCTGTTTTCCTAGGACAGAGAGAGAACTGCTGGCAGTCCCTCCAGCTGAGACTGAACCACTTAGATACTTTTAATTTATTTGAACTAAAAAGAACTGTAGGTCTCCATACCAGTGAGATGCCTATACTTTTCTCTTGAAATCCTTAATAGACTTTGCTAGAGAAGGAGCCTCCTGTTGGTGATAATGACAGATGTAAATGTCAGGTCCAGAATTTGTATGGCAAGCCCAGGCTTAAGTATAACCATAGCAAATAGCTGCTGGCAGCCTTTTATTTTCAAAGATCTAACTTCCTGTGCAGCTTTGTGACTCACGGGGTTGCCCTGTCTTTGTCAAATGAGAAAATTTATAAATTTTAAATTAACACTTATAAGGCAATGTTTACCTTATTGTCAATTTTTGTTATGCCATTCTTACCACTTATTACTGTAGATATTTCCTGTACTCAGGTGCCATCCTTCTACTCTGGGAAAATCAGACTGGTATGTAGTCTGGTATACAACCTGACTTTTGACCCAATACAATTGTTCTTTCTTAGTATGTAGGTTTTTTTCATTTTTTGTTTAACTTGGGAATTCTAGAGGTCCTTTAGTGCACTCCGGGCTCTCTTGACCAACAATATATCTTTCTTTCTGGCTCTTAAGATTCCTATTTCCTTTCAAAGATTATGTAGTTTCCCTCCAGGCTTTTTATATATTTTGTATGAAGAAAGAGACAGCAGAAAAAAAAACCTACTCAAAATGGAGAGTTTATGCTTTTAATGTTGGAATGAAGTACACAGAGATTGTCTCTTTATCCATTACAGTTGGATAAAGTGATTTTTAGAGTGACTAAAGGTGAAGTCTAGTAACAAAGCAATTTCTTTCCAAATAATTTTCTATGGCATTTGTGGTTTGTGTCTTTGTTCTCCCACTCTCCATGACGACCAGTTTTCCTTCAGAATTTTTAAGTGTTTGTAGGAGACAATTACAAACCAAGGACAAAACCAGATTATTTACCAGTAACTTGAGTTCTCCTACACAACAATTTTCTCTGTAGAACCATTCCATCTCCCTCTCTCCCGTTTTCCTATTGAAAGACAGATTTTTCCAGTCAGTTTGGAATGAAGTAGGAGGGTGTAGTAGTGACTCACACATCCGCCAGAGGTAAAATGGCATTCAATGCATGCGCTAGTACAATTTTACTTACCTGAAATTTGACAACTTCAACAGCTCTTTGGTGTCTGACATGGTGTTCTCATAAATTTCACTAAAGACCATGAATCTGTGGAAGAGGTAATCCCTCCCCCCCAAAAAAGGAAATTCAGTTACTGGTAAGTAATACAGTTTTATTAAAGATGTCAAGCCATAAGGATTCCTGCTCATCCCCAATAACCTCTAATAACCATAACCATTTACTTACTTGATATACCAAATTCATAATTATTATCGAAGTATTATATACTGAATACAAATGAGCTAAACATTATGGAATCGTATCATAATTTTCATTATATGAAAATTTCAAACATGCTTGCCAGAATTTTGAGGGCAAAGAGTTTTTCGAGAGCATGAGATGATTCTAAATTTGCTAAACTTCAGATGTCATATGTTTTTATCTCCCTGTAAAAATCTGCTATTTTTTATGGCTCTGATGCCACAGATATAAGAACTCCAACTGATTTCAGTTGCCTAGAATTAATTCCTTAACAAGAAAACCGCACTAAAAAATAATAAACAAACAAATGAAGAAACAAACTCACTCCAGAATTCCCCAATAGGGCTTGACCAAAAGCTAAATGAAGTAATACAATTCTCTTGACTTCACTGGGCTTTGGATCCTTGTTTTTTGAGTTTGTAACATTAAACATAGTTGAAGTGCTTTAGAAACAAAGGAAAAAAGATGTTTAGGAAAATTACTAAACAACATCTGGTGTGTTTATGTCTGCTTTATTCTATTCAACTGTGAAACAATGTTTTTCTTCTTTGCTATATTATAGGTAAAATGTGTAAGAGGAAATACTGTTATAAATAATCCTTTAAACCAATCATGTTTCTGCCTAACCATCAAAGCATCTTTCTATTTGCAGACACCTAGGAGCAATACTTTTCTTACTTGTAAATACTATAAACTTTCATCCTATGCAAGAAATTATCAGAATGGCTTCTAAGAACTTTTCTTAAACCTTCCATTTTTTGTCTTTATTAAACTTTCTTTTTTCTCAAGCTCTTCATAATCTACATTGTGACTTCCTGTGTTTATAAAACTTTTCATGTTTATTTCAGTGCCAGTTTATATTCATTCTAATTTTAATTTTCCAGTTTTGATCTTTAATTTAAAAAGGAGTATATAGAAAAAGCTCTCAGATAAATCATTGTTTCACTGACATAGTTCAGGTCAATTTCAGTCAGCTAGTCTCAGTGAGCCCAGAATCAAACCTGACATTTATTAGGAACCTGATAACCACAAAACTGTCAGTAGCTGCATAATTCACTATACCCTATGACCAGATCAGGAAGGAATATTTCTGGGAATACCTTACATTGCCAGGGACAAGAATTATGAGTCAATATCTCAAATCTGGACCAAATCCTAGTCTGAAGAATAGAGGAGACACATATTTATGCTGCTTAGTCTAGAAGTTGCTTTGTGTGAAAAATGGTTTTTTGGTTAAAAGAACAGTATTATGAAGAGAAATGCTAACTCACTGTTGTACTCTCTTTTTATGTAGATACCTTGCAGTCACAGCTTATCAATATGGGTGTTATTCCTACGTTAGTGAAACTGTTGGGCATTCATTGCCAAAATGCAGCTCTGACAGAAATGTGCCTTGTTGCATTTGGCAATTTAGCAGAACTCGGTAAGTCCACAATACTCATCTCAAATTTACATCCAGTTTTCATTATGTTAAGTCTCAGTTCAAGACTAACAAAAGCTCGTTCAAGTCCTTTTGTTACAGTCAACAATAATAGACAAGAAAATTTTGCATATTTTCTCTAGAATATATAGTTGTCTCTTTTTTTTCCCCGCTCTTCAGTAACTGAAATTTATTTAGGTACTTAATTCAACCTTATGTTTTATGTTACTGTGCTTCAGTGCAACTAAGCACATTTTAAATCATCTAAGCAGTATTTCCATAGCACTGCTACTTAATGTGAATTATTTATTAATAATATAGATATTGTATCCTGGTGTAACTCCACCAGTGTTTTATCGCGATTAAATTTGGCTCATGAAAATCTCTGAATGAAACTGAGACAGGCACAGTTTTTTAATTGCATATTATTTTAGGTGCAGAATTGTAACATTTTCTAGTCTAAATACTTTCATGTATAAATCATGAATAGATGTTAATTTTAGTTACAACTTCATTTAAATGGAAGTTTGTGGCTCTGCTTTGATCCAATGTCTTTGCAAGCAGATCAGTTTTCATTGGAATGCAACCATGTGTAAATCAATAGGTTGTAAAGGCCTGTGTTTTATTAACATTTATGGTTTATATTGTTGTTCTTTTGCTAACCTGTTTGGTGAAATTCTAGTTTTATGAGTTGAGAGTTTTTTGCACTGGAGTAAATAATACATAGCACGTACGATATTATCTAAGAACATTCAGCAGTTCAAAATATGAAAAATATATCTCTTGAGTTTGTAGTATTTGGTGGCCTGAGTTCATAGATTTCAAGGCCAGAGAAAGTATCATGTTGCCTAGTTTAGTCTAATCATACACATAATACATTTATTTACAGCAGACAATTCTTAACAAATCAACAACAGAAAAAGCCATCAAGGTAGCACTAAAGAAATTAACAAATCAGAGGTCTTCAAGATGGGCACTATGTACTGTGTCTGCACAGAAGAAAGGGTAAGAGTTGACTAGCACTGAAAGTTCTAGTGCTTAAATGCAACCAAAACCACAATGACATTAAATACAATAAATGTTAGCCTCACTGAGAACTCACTGAGAATTTCCTTTCCCTCTTTGGAAAGGTCCAGCTCTGTCTTGTTGAGTAATGAGAACCATGGGAAAGAAACTTTGTAGCAACTGCTTCCCTTCCAGTTCATACACACTGAAAAGGTGCTCGTTCTTTAAGACTGGCCAAAATTAATTTACTTTTTAATACTTTATTCTCCCTTAAGCAATAGTCAATCACATTGTGAATGTAATATTTTATTTTTGCCTTGTAACTTCAGGGAATTTTTTTTGTGAGATTTGTCATTTTTCAGCACTTATGAGACAACAGCATTGCAGACCCCCTGAAAAGCATTTATTGACTTACTCTGTGTCAAAACAGGGCACAAAACAGTGATGGATCTGGTAAAATACTAGAAAGATCATAAATCCACATAGCATATACTATGCAACCATGCATAGTGAGAGAAAACAATGAGATGTGCACCAAAGTGTCTAGGACTGCAGTTCATTCTTTTCCCAAGTCCTTGGGGTCAATTCTACAGTAAAGTAATCCGAAGCATCTGCCAGAGCAATAGCAAAGGTGCTGGAAGGTTTTCTAAGTACAGATGGCCCTCAGGAGGTGGCAACTGGAGAATGCAGAATACCAGCCCTACCACCTGCATCCTTTGTAATACTGCCAGTGAGGAGGAATATGATACAGGCAATGGAATAAGAAATGCTTTTGTTGAATGTACATTTGAAGATTTGCTGGCTAATATGGTAGGAATCTCACCCATCTGTAAAACTACTTTACGCTGTATCTGTGCAGTATGAGATGGCCCAGCAACAGCCACACACAGATTTCAAAAAAAATGTCACCATCATGAAACCAAGTAAATATTAAAGCATTCAGTGCAAATTTTCATCTCTCCCATAGAAAATTCAGTACATAACCTGCTCTTCTTTCTGTTAAGATGAGGGAAATAAAAGACTTATTTTTGTACTATAAATGTTTCTATAGCTACCTTACATTTTGTTGGGCAAAACCAGACCGACAGCCTTGAATCATATATTTATATATCTTTAACAGCCTTAACCATAACAAATTTAGATAAGTACATTTAAAGTTTTAGACATTTATCTTTTCATTTTGTGACAAGCATGAGTCTATTGCTCTTGTCTGCGAAGAGCAGTTAATCATCCCACTGAATAAACCTGGTAACAAAGAGAAAAAGTAGTTCTACCTTTTGATGTGGTTTGGTTACTTTATACTGAATTTCTCCTTTTGCTTCACAGAGTCAAGTAAGGAGCAGTTTGCCTACACAAACATTGCTGAAGAGCTTGTGAAACTGTTCAAGAAGCAAATAGAGCATGATAAAAAAGAGATGATTTTTGAAGTTTTGGCACCCCTAGCAGAAAACGGTGAGATTTTTTTTTTCTTTACTCTTTTACTCATTCTTTTATGTGTATTTTTTATTTGAGTATATCCGTATCTTTTTCAGGCACTAAATGCAGAGTAATGGGCTGCCTCGTTCTGAAGCCACCATGGCTGACCCTTGTAATTGTAGTTTCATGAAAAGTGAATAGGTCTTAATTGTTGAGCATATGACAAGAGCCAGCACATTGCTGATGATAATTCCATCGCTGATTCACTCTGTATACAAATATGTTATCTTTTATTGCCCTATGCACACAGTGGGAATATCAAAAGCTGCTTTTTAGAGAGCTTCACAACATTTGTCTGCAAACAGTGGCTCAAGTGTTCACCGACCATTGGAGCACCAAGACATCATTTCTTGGAATCACAGAGCCACTGGCAGTTCCATTTCCTGTAACATTATTTTTGCCAGGGACATGTCAATTGCAGACCTAAGGGCTGGACACTCTGCCCTTACTGTTCATTGAGAGATCATATGAATTTAATTTGAGTGTTTGGTGGCGTATCTTACATAGCCCCAGGCAGCCCCTGGGAGTTTGAATCACTGCTCAAGCCACAGCAGGAATTGATGTGCAGCCCTGATCACCCCTCTGGGATGTTCCTCCCAGAGAAACAAAGGATCAGACAAGGTGGCTTGTACAATGTATCATCTGTCCTTAATGGAAATGAAGAAATGAGTTAACAGGTGGAGCTGGACTGATATGGGAAGCAGTTCTGTGTAGGGAAGACATCACAGTATTTGATGGCTCTCTAACCTTGTTTTAACCATCTCAGCATTAAAGCTTTTTTTAATTGAATAGATTGTTAGATAGAACTGCAAACTCAGATTTATGTTTCATTCTACTCTGTTGTGCATACACACTCTGTGTGCATCTGTTTTACAAAGTATAAGTTGGGATAAACTTTTACTTCAATTTAAAAAGTTATTTTGTCTTTTATTTTAAGTGGCATGGAAAGCGATTCCTTTTTTCAGTACTAAAAATGCACATTTTTCCCCAAATACATAATTTATTACATAATAATTTACAGGTTGCTCTAAGATAATTCCATCCTCAGAGACTGACAAAACAGGGTTGAACTTTTTGTGTATTTGACATATGTCAGTTCAAATGCTTAACTTTTCTTAGAGTATGTTCCTTAGTTACAATAACATTTGAAAAATTCACTGCTGCTGACCCCAACTCAGATGCTCAGATGTTCAGAGGTAGTCAGAAAAACATTTCCACTGTAGATTCAAGGCACACTTAAATGAGTTCACTTTGCTGGTACTGTTTAGGTGCTTTTGATTGTAGATAATTAGCAATAGGTCAGAAGGGAAAAATATTTCTATTAAGTATTTGCAGTCTGGATTTTAGTGGTTGGAGTATTTCAAGCTTTTTTCTAATTTACGTGTTGATTAGGCATGCTGTTGTAGAAATTTCAATTTCAAATCTCAGAACATCTGCAACCCAGTATTTTATAGCTAAGGGAATTCTCTATCTTTAAAGCACCTCAGTGCAAAAGTGCCTATTTAAAAAAAAAAATCCCAACTGGAGATTTTGCATTTCCTTACAAAGTTCATGAGAAGGTCAGCTGCTCGTAGAGGAACAATGAATTTCACTGAGGCAAAAAGCCTAGTGACACCAGGAAACTGAGAGTCAGACACATCCTTCACCAGAGGTAGAACACATTTCCTCTCCCAAGTGTTGCTTGTAAACTGCATGAAAAAAAATTTCCAAAGCCCTGGCCTAAAAATATTTTAACTTGGGTTAAACACCTTTTTGTTAAAATACCATTTCATCTAGAAAGCCGAGAGAAATCCACTTCTTTTGCACATTTCTGCAGAGTTTAGTGACTATTTTTCAAAATCAGCATGCAAAAACTACCAGAATCACTTCTGTGTATGAAAAGACCTAACATAGCATGACAGTCTGACATTCCCTCTTAACAGAAAAGGAGTTTATGCATGTAAAGGAGATTCTAAGGGAAATATCTGTTAAATATTTTGTAATTTTAGAAACGAGAAAAAGTATTGTTCCCAGATTCTATGTCACCTGAAAAAAAGTACTTATTACCTTCTCAAGCCTTGTTTGGAATGACAACTAAGAGATGAGTTTGCCTCATCGGTTTCCAGAACAAACTTCTCTGCCAACCCAACCTTTTGGATTTGGCCTTTCTGCACTCGTCCTGCAGCCCTTTCAACGAATGGCACATACACTGTCAGTCTTTGGAAAGCGTGAACACAGCACAGTCCTTAGGAGTCTGTTGTGCCATGACTGAAGTACCAGAAGTTTGCTGTAGAGAAATACCCTCATTTTTAGAAGTGAAGAGCTCCATACACTTTCAGCTTATGACTGTGCTCTAAAGGCAGTCCAGAGCCAGGGAGAGCCTGTTAGACAAATAATAAAGAAGTTGCAGTTTTATGTACACAAGTTGTCAGTGAAAACACTGACATCACTGTTTCTTACAGTCTGTCTTGTATGTGTGTGTATGATAGATGCATTTAAAATCCTGATTCTGACTCCTATTATCCATGCTATTTTCCAGATGTTATTAAACTGCAGCTGGTTGAAGCAGGTTTGGTGGAGTGCTTACTTGAGATTGTCCAGAAGACTGTGGACAGTGACAAAGAGGATGATATTGCAGAGCTTAAAACAGCTTCTGATCTTATGGTGCTGTTATTGCTTGGAGGTAAGTATGGGCTGTCACTGTGTTCCTTAGACCAACAGCATATACTTGTAACACTGTTTGGCTGCTGAATTTCACTTTTTGTTAATTTTCTAAATAATCTAGATGACCTGCTATCCAGCAGGCAAACATTTAACAGGTCAGATTCTGTTCCTCATTGCCGGACTAGATTAATTGTAGTGGAAGCAGCAGAGCTTCACAAATACAAAAAGAAGTTTCCCTAACAAACACTTTGGTTTGCTGACTCTATGCTTTTTACCCCAGATGAATCCATGCAAAAGTTATTTGAAGGAGGAAAAGGCAGTGTGTTCCAAAGAGTACTTTCATGGATTCCTTCCAATAGTCATCAGCTACAGCTTGCAGGAGCACTGGCTATTGCAAATTTTGCCAGAAATGGTAAGAACATGCCATAATAGCTCATGTAAATTTATGTGTGTCCTTCTATCATGCTCTGTCTGTACAGCTACAAAAAAGAACTGTGTTGCAGTAAAGCTGCTGTTGAGTTACACAGCAACATCACTAGTTTTAAACTTTACAATCCTCAAAAGCATTAAGCTCACTTTTAAAATATTATTCTCATTTGTAGTGAGGTATAGGGGATTTCTGCCTTCTTCAGTATTTCTTCTATCACTCTTGTAAGTTTGTCATGAGCACTGCAATTCTCACAGATGATAGTGGTCAAATTCTCAACAATAAAATCTAAAAAGGAGCAAGGAAATAACCCTTCTATTCATAAGAAGCTATTGTAAAAATCTTAGTAATAATCTTCCCTTCACAAGTGACTTGTTACATCTTGCACAGACGGAAACTGCATCCATATGGTGGATAATGGCATAGTTCAAAAGCTGATGGATCTGCTAGACAGACATGTGGAGGATGGAAACGTAACTGTGCAGCACGCTGCACTGAGTGCTCTCAGAAACCTGGCTATTCCTGGTAAGCCTTTCTTTGCATTGCTAACTATCCGAACGTGAAATTCTGTTCTCCCACTGTACCCCCCAGGGAATGTGGGTGGGAGCTCTGACTGACACTCCTGCCTCTGCAGGTCAGACTGCAGCTTTTCATTCTGGCCCATCACCGCTTTTGTGTCTGTTGCACAGCAGTTGAGACAAGCAGTTCTGAATACATCACAGGCATAGTAACTGTCCTTTACCACTTTGATCCCACAGTATCCCCCACCAAAGAAAGGGCAGCCTTCTAATTGGCAAGGAGCTGAGGAGGCCTTGAATATAATTTCTCAACTCTTTTTGTCCAGAGCACGGCATATTTGTTTTTCTTTTTGCTTGTTCATTTGCAATCTGTCTCACAGCTGAGGGTCCCAACCAAAGAACAGTGCCCACTTTGTTAAAACATTGCATCTTACTTAAGACTTTGAAAATTGCCGAATTAGAGTTGGAGCTAGACTGACAGACTAGCCTATTGCAATTGCAACTGGCCTATTGCAATTAGTACTGTTTGTTGGCAGTAAGCTGAATGCTTATTTGTCATTTTTAGTAACTTAATTTGTATGAGTTTTGATTACTCAAGCATAAAGGTAGTGCACAAAACAACAAAGCAAATCTGTAACGTTTGTATATGGTTACTTGTGCCAAGCCAAAAATAAGTCTTTTATCCATTTAACCTTATTTTACTACTTTCAGTTTTGACAAATCATAACTGTTAGAAATGATCATGCATACATAACTAGACCCACTGAGATTTAGCAGTATTCCATTTGCTTACCTCTCTCAGGTGAGTCATTCTTTTCACTTCGAGCATTCAGCTTCCCTGTGGCCTATGCTGAAGAGTGTCTGCCAGAGACTTACATAACCATCCCTGTACATTCTTAGAAAGAAATGAGCAAGTAATAACTGACCTCAGTGATGAGCTTCTGTGTCAAAACTATTTCAAATACCTAATAAGTACTTTTTTTCCAAGTACACTACTGGGCAAGGTTTGCACCTTAAATGCATTTCAGAGATCTCTGTGAAAGTGGAGAACATAGACTAGTGGAAAGGATGAAAGAGAGGCTGGAGAGGGGAAGAAGGCAACATAAGACTATAGACATGTCAGGCCACAGTGTTGTTTGTAAGAAGTATTGGAACTGGGTAAGAAGTTATTCTGTTAATTAGATGCTTTAGTTCCTTTGTCTGTGAGAAATAGAAGAGTGTGGTTGGGACTCAGAGAAGTTTCTTCATATTTGGGGCTGCAAGTATTGGCCTGGGCTTTTGCCTGATGCATTTTGTGGAAGATGCCTTTCCTATACCAAAGGGAGGAGTCTACCCCTTAGGTGGTGCTCCGGCTGAACACAGAAAGTTAGATTTGCATGCAGGAGAAAGCATGTAATTTCACAGGAACCGTGACATTTTTCCACAACACAGCATCACCAGCTCACTCTGTTTCTGAAGTCTATGCTCACAACCTCTTTTTCAAACCACATCTGCAAATTTGCTTCAAGATCAGCTCTGAAATAAACTGCATCTTCCAGAAAAGTTTTTGATATCAATCCCTGTTCTTTATTCATGCAGTTGTAAATAAGGCTAAGATGCTATCAGCTGGTGTTGCAGAAGCTGTATTGAAATTTCTCAGATCGGAGATGCCCCCCGTTCAGTTTAAGCTGCTGGGAACATTAAGAATGTTAATAGATGCACAAGGTAAAAATAAACTGTTCTCTATGTTAAGTGATTCTCTTTGGTTCAGTCTGTGATATACTGCCAAGATTCTTAAAAGAGAGAAGCAGAGTTTTTCTAAATTTCATTCCTGAAGTCATGGAATAAATCTAATACATATGCAAAAGGAGAGGAATATGGATTGATTTCTTTTCAGAACTCCTAAACTGACTACCAGGGACCTTCCAAATAGGTGTCGAATGCTTATTTACTTTAGAACTTCTTTATACTGTCACATTACAAGTGTGTATTGAGGTGTTAAGTGTTTTGAGCTACCACTCCTGTTTCGTTGTTCACTTACTGTATTCCCTGTGTATACTTCGGTCCTTGGAACAGGATAATACTCTTTTAATTGATTGACTGAAATTCCAAAAAGAAAAACCACCTTTTTAGTTTACTTGTTCCCAGGAGGAGGATTTATAAAAATAAGAAGTCTACTAAAAACCAGTTCATGAGATAAATTAGCTGTGTATTTATTTTTGACTCAGTCCTACAGATTTTTTCAAAAGATCCATTCTAGTTCTAGCAAAGCTATTGGATGTGAAATAGAATTTTTTTGAAGAAACTTATGTGACTTACAGTCTATCAAACCTGATCTAAATGACCACACTCCCTTCTAGTAGCAGTCCCTTCTGGATTTTAATTCTGAGCTGGCTCACAGCTCAGTTGAGGCTGTGATATCACCTGTATTTTCTCTGCTCTTAATCAGTGCACAAGCTTCATTAGCTGGGCTGATAAGTTGTATCATAAACTGGATAATGAATGTTTTTCTGGATTTTTTTATTTTCATTTGACTGGCTTTACTTGCTTCAATGCAACCTAGACTTTTCCCACTGGTAGGGCAGGCTAGTGAAGTTCTTCTAACTCCTCCAAGTTAGTAACTTCCAGCTTGTTTTTCTAGCACTTGCTTAAAAAAAGTGATAACCTTTTTGTTGTGTTGTTGGCTCCGGCATCATGTAGCAGAAGCAGCTGAACAGCTGGGCAAAAACGTAAAACTGGTGGAACGCTTGGTGGAGTGGTGTGAAGCAAAGGATCATGCAGGTGTGATGGGAGAGTCCAACAGACTACTTTCTGCACTTATACGACACAGCAAATCAAAAGTAAGTTAGTGGCGAAAAAGGTCAGCTTGTCAGAACTAAGACTTACCTGTGCACTTGCTGTTGGCAACCAACCCTCTAGCTTACAGTCCTTCTAGCAAGCCAGCTTGGGTATTCATGTGTTACATCTCCTCTGCCCAAGCCTTGACTCATTTTTATTTTTAATGTATTCAGCATGATGTATTCTCTATGTATTAATGATGCTATATATGAAGAATCAGTGAACTCAGTTGTTAGGATCTTATTACATATATTTGTATAAAACTGAGATCCAGAAATAGTCTGTCTCCCTACTCCTCACACAGCATATTTCAGAGTTTTAAAATTCTGATTGATCATTAGGAATTATAATTTATTCCAAATTCTAACAAAAGCTTGCTTATCTATGGCAAAAGGTATAACATTAGGAAAAAATAATCTGCCCTTCCCATCATATCAATCAAATATCTTTACCTAAGCAGTCCAAGCCCACCATTCTTGTTCAGCTGATTATTAGACAAAGCAGCCTTATAAAGGACAAACACATCTCCTCTGGAGACAGGCTATTTCAGGCTCAGACTTCCTTTAGTATGTTCACTGGTAGGAACACTGGCTGCATTACTGAGCTTAAATAGAAGGTGTGAATTGGAGAGATCAAACTGTAACAGTGACCTCTTCATTCATCCATGGCATTTATGAAATGAAAAATATAGTAGGGGCCTGATGTGTACTGATTGTCTCCAAAAACAAATCAACAGGCCTTACAGGGATTTAAATCTTTGCTGATTTCTAACATCACTGTTTCTGTCTATACCAATTATCCATTTTATGTTCAGCCTCTAAAACTGATCAGGGTTCATTTTTCTGTTTTTCACTTTTTCTGGCCCCCTCCCCACAGTCCCCAACAGGCAAGCATGGATGGCAAACACCACCACAGATGTGAGACTTAATAAATATCCTCTGTAGGACAACAGAATTCAGTTCTAAATATGGAGATACTACTGATGAAATCAAATAGATATTGAGGCAGAAATTAACAGCATTATCACAGGTGAATTAATTTTTGTGGGGTGCATGTAGTCACAGAAGAAATTTGACATGAAGATGATAACAGCTGAGAGGGTAGGGTTTTTTTAAGCTTTTGCTGCCCTCTAGGTTTGAATGTGAGTACAGCTGTATGGCTCTTAAGAATATCAGGTTTGAATTCGGCTTTTAATTTTAAATGCTTTGGAGTAATATTTACAAAGGCAACAGTCAGTTTTAGTCATTCTAAAAAACTGGAGTAGGTACCTGTGATTTCAGCCACACTAGCACCAAACCTGATGGCTGTCATCTGTTTGGTACTGCCTTTTAAAGGGTGATGTTCACCTACAATATAAAACATTTTGATGTCAAAGATGCTGATTGGTTCCTAAGACTTATATAGCCAAAATTCCACACCAATTCAAATAGAAGGTAGCAGTTCCCAGATTGTCTCAGTCTGAAAACTACTTTGGAGTTCCAGCAGAAAACCACAAATAATAAAATACATAATTTCAAGAAAAATATAAAAATACTTAAATGCTTGCAGACATTATGTCATTTAGGAAGAAAAAAAGGCTTTAAATGTGATAGTCTTGGGTCATTAGGCTATAATTTGGACTGCTAGTATCTTCAGTATGATTATCTAAAAATACTTTAGTTTTCAAGGATTATGATTATTAGTGTCTGTTCCTTGCATAAACAACACCACTGCAAAGCCTGTGCAAAGACTAAAAAAATAATTAATTCTCAACATATATGTCAGTTTATTGATTTTGGCTTATGGCTGGTGTAAGAAAGGGGGATAGTGTTTTAAACGGAAATTTAAGATATAGAAGAAAAATTTAAGTCATACTGTTGTTTAAAGAAATAAATGCTACTTCAAACCTTTGTGCACTCATAGGACAAATAAAAAATAATAAGACCCACTCCGTATTTCCTTGAACAGTTTCCTTTCAGCATGCCAAGTTACCTGATTTTTCAGGCAAACATTTCGCAAGTATTTTTGGGCTATAAGATGATGAAAACATGAGATGCAGAACCACTTTTGAAATTATACCTAACAAATACCTGTGGAGACCAAAAATCTTTATCTCTTGTGGCGTAAGTTGGATGAAATTTTGGACCTGAAAACAGAATCTCAGCTGTATATTTTTTATCTGCTTTAGATACATTTAAGTCCATTAAATGACATTATAAGTTCCTAGATAGTGGGCAGCAGTAGTGCACAACAGTTCATTTTAACAGCTGGGTTTAGAACAGAAACCAACACATTGGTGTCCCATATCTCCCTTTTCCTTACCTGCTTTGTATTTGAAGAAAAATTCCATAATAAGAGACCACTGCTTGTTTTCCTGTCCATGTGTAAACAGCTTTTCAAGTACACCATTTCTGTTACATAGTAAGGTTTGTGATCTCACCTCTCTGAATATTTTCAAGAAACTCTGAAAATTTGTGGAGAGATATGAATAGAACTTTATTATGTTTGTGTTTCCTTACCCTAAGTATATATTTTGTTGGGTACTTTGAACCCCTGATTATTTGATGATTGATGGCACAGCATGAGAACTTGAGTTACACCATATAACCTGGAAAAGAGTTCATTATGTGTGTCTTAACTTAGTTACAGGGTTACCTGCCTTGGTTTAACGCCTGTACCTTACACTTGCAGAGCAGTAAGAGATCATACCTAGCCCTGCCGTGTGTACATTAATGATGTGCATAAAGCCAATGAGTACCCTTACCCACAGATAACAGAGCACCTCTGACAGTTCCCTTATTCAACACAGTTTGTATGCAATGCAGAAGTTTTTCATCTCTGTGCTGTTTATTTTAGGATGTAATTAGGACTATTGTACAGAGTGGTGGCATCAAGCATTTAGTAACCATGGCGACCAGCGAACACGTAATAATGCAAAACGAAGCTCTCGTTGCACTGGCATTGATAGCGGCTCTAGAGTTAGGTGAGTATCCCAGCAGTTCACTCCACCTGTTTCCTTTCCAGTCTGTGCCCAAGCCATCGAGGGAAATGGAGAGTATGCAGACTAGCCTCCTCCTTCCACCTGACTTCCAGTATTTCTGTGGTAGTTCATGCAGACACAGGCAAGCCATCATGTTATGCAGGAAACTGCTGAGAGAGTGCTGGTTATATGGGATCTGCTCTCCATGGTGTGTGGTGTGATCTAGAAAGGCCCTGCAGCTTAACTTTCAGATTTGGGGTAAAACCCACAAAACGAACACACTAGAGACTATATGATCTGACCACATTCCTACACAGGAATGGTGATCTGCTTTTAGAGGTGCTTAATGTCCCAACATGTCTTCATTAAATTACCCAGAAATAAGTGTAAGAATTGCCATATGAAGGCAGACATGATGACATGTCTTGACCTGCGTTTGTAGTACCTCAGCTTCTTAAGCAAGAAAGTAAATGTTCAGAGATTTTGTTTATTGTATTTGCTTACTTCTTAACTAAGGAACTACACAACCTTATATATTTTTGTCCTTGATTTCATCTCTTGCCATTGTGTACTACAGGAATGCTCTGTTCAACTTTCTAATCATTGCCAATACATCAAGGAATTGTTTTCAATAAAAGGAAAGATGTTCCTATTCACATGAATCATCTCTTTGTCTTGTCTTCAGGCATTTAAAGGTTGAGTCCGAATTCAATACATGTATCTTAGAAAGCTACAGAGGCAGTAACTCAAATGGAGATCTTTAAAAGTTTTCCACAGGCTTTATAATGGACCCTGAGCTCCCTCTACCATGGAATCAAGAACTACGCAATCTGTATTTACCCAGACAGAATTTCCTAAAGCAAATTCAGGCAGTGGAAGTCTTGAAAGCTGAAATATTCCAGGTTGGCCTAAATGGCTAGAAAGCCTCATGGCTTTTCCATCCGTTTACTGCACATTAAGACTGGATTTCATCTTTAAACTCTGTGACTGTCCTTTCAAGCACTTAGACAACTTCACATGTTTATAGCAAGAGCTGTGATTCTTGTCATCATACCATCAAATATGTGCTTGAGTTTTATACCATTGAGTTATGTACCCCAGCCTCACTTTCACTCTGGTGAGAGATCATGTTTCAGTAAAGGGGTAACACATGGAAGCGTCAAAGCAAGTGGCACTTACAGACTTAAAAATTTTCACTTGTATTTCAGTCACTGCTGAAAAGGATCTTGAAAATGCTCAGCTTGTTCAGATTCTACACAGACTGCTCTCAGACGACAGGAGTGCTCCAGAAATAAAATATAACTCCATGGTACTGATCTGTGCTCTTATAGGATCTGGTGAGTATTCAGGAAAGGCTGTTTCCCAGGATTTATGTATGCAATGTAGTTCTCTCCTACAGCTGAACACAAGAGCATATGCAAACACACTGTGACTGGTTGTTTGTTCACAATGGATATGGACACAGAGGTTCAGTTTACTATGACTCTACAGTGTCTATCTGTAGTGTCAAGGATGAAGCTGTTAACTCAGTTTTGGATATTAACTGCAGAACCTTGACCCTGGCTTCTATAGGATGCAGCTAGCTCAAACTTTGACAGGAAATAAATGAAAAGCATTTAAAACTGTACAATACCAAGTCGTCTTTGCAAATATGCAGATCACAAGATCTTTATTTTCATTTCTAGCTGCAAGTTCCCTGTAATTGATAGGTGATGGTGATTTAGGAAGGATCTTTACACTTATGTCTCTAAGAAGACTCCTTCCCTCAACAGCCCTCACATGCTCAGCTCACCAGGCACAACGTGCACTAACACACATCAGTGCTGGACACTGTAAACTCTCATCTCTGAGCTCACCCTCTGCTAAAGGTCAGGCTGTTTACAGGTTGTTGGAGCAGGCTGTGGTTTCATATTGCAACTTCCCACCTGTGCGGGCAAACAAACCACAAAAGAAAAGAGAGCAAGGTGTTATGGGGAAATTTCATTCAAGATTTCAAAAAGTTGCTACATTTCTTTCATTCAGTTCTTTATGAAAGATTGAATCTGTGGAGGGAGAACAAATTTCATTCCATAAGGGTTTAGAAATTTACAGACAACTAAGATGACAAAGAACTGGAATTACAGAAAGGTGGAAAGTCAGAGCCTGTCTGCACAAGTGTGAAACATATGAAGGTTCTCTAGAGATTAGTTTATGGCAATTCAATTGTTAGATTAAAAGTTATCACAGTTAAATGTGTGCTGTGTCTGTAAACAAAGATGTTTTTTTAATTAAACAGAGTTCACCATGCCTACTACAAGTGTAATTTTGGAGACCTATACATCCATGCAAGTGAATGTTTTATTCCTGCCATCTTATAGGAACAAATATTTGATTTTAGAGAGTATACACATCTCAGTGTGCAAAGATTGTGCTCAAGCCTCAGCTCTCAGTAAGCACTCACTTCAATATTAAGAAATGTAAACTTAGTTGTTACACTCACAACCTTTTTGAGCCATGCCATACTTGGGACTATCCATGCATTTTAGAGCAGAAGCGTTTTGCCAAAGGTTCAGTCAGCCTCACTTGTCTTGATCTTGATTTCCACTGCTTCCAACTGAAATAATCATCTTCAGAAGATCTGGCTCATTTCCCTTCCTGAATCTTGTCATCTCCAAGACTGACAGAGGTATTTAAAGTCAAAGACTTCTCTCTCTTGTACACCAGAGTACGAACTAGTCTTATCTTATGGGGGGTATTTTAGGGTTATTCAAGTAGCAGAGTTCAGTCTGCAGTGCACTCTTAAGCTTTGCCTAAGGCATAAGGCTCCTTACCCTGTTCCAGAGAACAGAGAACAGCATATCACTGTATTATGCAGTTGTGAAGTTAAGGCCCAGCATTTGACCCTGATTCCTGCTGAACAGACCTGTGTAAAATCAGTAAGAACACAAGAATAACAACTGAGCAACGCTGGTATTAATTTCTAAGTTTGGGGGGGGTTACTATTTTAACCAAGGAGAGGAGGATCAAGGAGCTGATTGTTCTTTACATGGGAAAATACTAAAGTACACCTCTTAGAGTTCTGTTGCCTCTAAACTGTTTTCATTACTGTCTCCACATAATGAGCCACATTTCCTTATTTTACTGTGAACAGACCTATGTAGTTATTTTTAAAGTAACTGACCCCAGTATAGTTCAATAAAGACTAGAAACAGTTCCACTGGTTTAATTATTGGTTTAGTTTAATTCTCCAGTGACTGCTGTTATTATGCTTTGTTATGGGGTATCTGTCATCACATTTAACTTGAAGTTGTCAACATCTGTGTGTTCACAGAATCACAGAATGGGTCGAGTTGGAAGGGACCACAGTGGTCCAACCTCCCTGCTCAAGCAGAGCCATCCTAGAGCACATGGCACAGGATTGCATCTAGAAAGTTCCAGTGAGGGAGACTCCAGAACCTCTCTGGGCAATCTGTTCTAGTGTTCAGTCACCTGTACAGTAAAGTTCTTCCTCATGTTCAGGTGGAACTTCCTGTGCATCAGCTTCTGCCTGTTGCCTCTTGTCCTGTTGCTTGGCATCACTGAGCAGAGCCTGGTTTCTGTCCTCTTCACACCCTCCCTTCAGATACTCACAGACATTGATGAGTTTCCTTCTCTGTCATCTCTTGTCAAGGCTGAACAGGCCCAGCTCCCTCAGCCTTTCCTTCTGAGAGATGCTCCAGTCTCTTAATCATCTTTGCTGCCCTCCACTAGATGCACTCCAGGAACTCCATGTCTTTCTTGTCCTGAGGAGCCCAGAACTGGACAAAAGCACTCCAGATGTTGCTTTATCAGGACTGAGCAGAGAGTCTCTTTACCTGCTGTCCATGTTCTTCCTAATGCACCCCAGGATACCAATGGCCTTCTTGGCCACAGAGACACTGCTGGCTCATGGACAGCTTTTCGTCTACTAGGACACCCAAGTCCTTCTCCACAGAACTGCTTCCAGCAGGTCAGCCCCTAGCCTGTGCTGGTGCCTGGAGTTATTCTTCCCCAGTGAAGAACTCTGCATTTGTGTTTGCTGAACTTCAAGTGGTGTTAAGCGGTTAACAGATACTTATTTTTATGGGATTCTTTCCATCTGAAAGTTCATTTGCAACTGCATGAATGGATAGGGAAAGAAAAATTAGGACAATGGAAAATGGAAGAATCATCCAAAGCAGAGCATTCTTAGTTAGCACAGTCTTCTGTAGGCAAGAGCCTCCATGAAACTGGATGTTACCAGCCATGGTAAAGCATAGTGAAGTGCCTGCTTAAACATGTTGATACCTCAGGAGAAAGCAGGAAGTGCACACATAGCATGAACACCCCAACAGCTTCACTAACATCAGTCTGTACATACACGTTCAGGTGCACAGCAGCATGAGAGGTTCCAGCTCTTACATGATAGAGGTTAAACTGCATGAGAACTAAAAATAAGAAATAAGAAAGAGAACTTTCGTAGGTAGAGATGGGAACAAATGCCAAAGCTTGCTTTAAAAAAAAAAAAAGTAAATAGCACAGCATAAAGCTTAGCTATCTGAAACAGGTGGTTGAGTATTCTCCTGGGAAATTCAGAGATTAGGCCCCAGCAACATGTGGAAAGCAAAATTATTCGTATTTGTTGCTGAGTGGGATTTCACTACAGAGGCATGAAACAAAACCAACCATTTTAGATCAAAACTGTGAGATATTCAGAGTACAGGGCTTTGAGAAAACTCATCAAATTTCTTACAAATTGCTTAATTTTATGAGTTGCTCCCAACCTCTCTTAATTAATACAAAAAATAAGTAATATGCAATCCAGGATCAGAATCATAAGACAGTGTGTCCTAGTTTTGAGTAGCACATAAACACTGCACCCATATGCACAGCAATGGGCAATGCTCTGCATGTTGTGTTTGCATTAACTTCATAGCTGAGCTGTAAAGGGACAGCAAACAGTGACCAGGTGGTGCCACATCCATTAAGAACCCATCCCACACTCCCACACAACGCTAAGAGTTGACACACACAAACGATGCCATGAGCCTGTCACGGCCAGCTCACTTAGGCTAGTTTAAAGAATAAACCAAAAAAATGTTTTCACTTAAAAATACTTCTTAAACATTGGTTATGGAAGGCAATCCAGCTGGATAGTCTTAAGTGCTGTGCAGCAGCTTCATCATTCATCATTACCTGAAATCCATGTAGTTTTCATGTGCTGGAGGCCCTGAAAAGTTGTTTCTCCATCTTCAAAAGCAATTCCAAAAATAAACAATAACCAGATTACGCATACTCACAGCTGCATGCTTGTGTGTACAAGGTTTAGTAGAAAAGTTTCTCACCATTTTCTTCCGTCTCATACAAAGCACTGTTTCTTTTAATATTTCCTTTTCCAGAACCTCTTCAAAAGGAAGTGCAGAGCATGGCGTTTCTAGAAGTCATATCAAAACTCCGCAGCCATGAGAACAAAACTGTTGCCCAGCAGGCCTCGCTAACAGAGCAGAGACTTGCTGTAGAGAGCTGAGGAAGGTCTTGTTCCCAGTGCTTCCCATCACAGATTTCACCTTTGTCCTCTGTCCTGCTGCCGCTCCTGCTATGTTTTCCACTGTATCACTTGTGCATGCGTGTAATGTTCCCACATAAATTGATGAACTGCTGTAGGTACCCGTCCAAAAAGGTTTCTACAAATTCATAGGTGGTGTTAACATGAACCTGTCTCCACCCATAACTGTTCTACTTGTATTCTTGTTGCTTGGGCCACGTAGTAGAATGTGCATGTTGTAGTCCTATGATGATGTAGAAGTGGTACTACACAATTGACTCTTTCCTCATGCCCCCTAACTGAATAAAAATGTACTACTAAATTAGGGACAATACGAGATGCAGCAAGTCCAGACTAGTGTGCTGACTATAGGATTAAGAAGTAAATCTTGCTCAATTTTTGGTGCTTTGGAGATTCAGGTTTGAATGCAATGTACTGCTGCTCATTCACTGGTCTTGCCTATTAATGTCAAACTCGTGGTACCTAGAGGTAACAAATAAAAATTTCAGTGCTCTCACTTTACCCCGTGGTTTGTCCTTTTTTCTAATGCCACACAGAAGCCATGACTGCACTACCACACGCTGGTGAGTTCTTTTTGTTCCTGGCTCTGGCCCAACGCAATCACTGCCTTTCAGCTGAGCAGATACTAAGGAAGCTATTCCAACCACTTTCACTGTGTGTGCTCACACAGAGGCACTGTGTGGCGTAACAATCATGCATTTTAGCAGCAATGCATGATACAATCCTTATTCTGTAAAGCCATGTGCATATGAGTGCTCCTGGGCTTGCTTCTTTGTTTCCTGGGGGGGTTCTATAGATAGATTTTTAAAGGAATATCTTGCAGCAGCTTTTCAACAGAAGCCCAGCAAGTGAGAAATGGAAGATGCAAGAGACTTCCTTTTTCTCCTTTCTTAGGTAAGGGAGATGGAAAACTGCCAGTCTGAGCATCTTATCTCACAGCTGCTCTTTTGTAGGTCCATAACATGCCAGTGAGCAAACCAGCAGACAGCACATGGGCAAAACAAGGAGGCAGTTGGGATAGTGCTTTCCAGCAAGTCAGCAGATGTTATTTTGGACTGTGTGATACCATTGCCTAGCTTCATCAAGCCCACCATGCATGAAGGTCGTAAGATTTATAACATTTTTAAGTGAAGTCAGCATTCCCAGTGAAGTGCCAGCCTCAGAAGTTTCAAGTTCCTTTTCTTACCAGCAGAGGCAGCAAACCGAAAGTCCAAGCACTTATGAGATCCCATGCCAGGTAATTGCAAACCATTGCTTCTGACCTTCACAAATTAATTCCCAAGCTCCATGACACCACTGCCGATCCCTCAGATACTGCAGTGGGAAGATGCCAGTCATGAGGGTAAAGAGATTGCTTACACAAGCTGGGTATGAAAAGAAACTTGCCTTCAATAGTCAGCTCAAGCTCTCAGAGCATACCAAAACACAGCAGATGCTACAGGAATTTTCACACTGCAGAGATTCCACATCCATTTAATCCAGTGCCAGAAACATGCAGAAAAAGCCTCCAATACTACACTGCACAACAGCAAAAAAACCAAAACAACAAAACACATTCAAAAAGGCATTTGCTTGTACTAGTGCAATAGAGCCACGGACAGAGTGCAAGCTGTCAACACAGACCAGGAGCTCGTAACATCAGGCTCCAAATAACAGAGAACCTCTGCACTGCTGCAACAGCAGTGCAGCATGTTTACAGTAATAGCTCACAGGCCCTCAAAAGCCCAGGTTTTCTCGTGCACAGAAACTCTTTCTATTGACTTAAACAGAACCCAAAATAACATTTGAAAGGCCAGTTATCAACACCTTGCCTAGTTCTAGAAAGAGACTATTCCTTTTCACATTGGTTAAGTGCTCACACAAACTGGTGTTGACAGAATTCCCATTTAGTTGTCTGACTCAAGCTGTGGTTAAGCATTAGCTCTTTCTCATGACCAAATATATATCAGGAATACCATTGTCACAACAAGCATAAACACAGGCCACTGGTGGCACCCTACTTTCAGTGGTTTCCCTGGGTGGAATCTCAAATGACTTACATTCCTAGATAAAATCTGTGCTGAGCTTAGGAAGGAAAGCCCTCGTAAGGGCAAAAATGGGTGTATGTTACAGAATAAGGTAATTGAGGAGACTGTCTAGCCACACAAATGCTGTGCTGTCCCGAGGCATGCTGCAGCCTCCAGGTCACTTTTATATAGTTATCCTCTACGCACCTTTAAAAACAAATGGGATCTAAGGACATTACTATCACATGCATTTCACTACTCACTGGACTGAAGTCAAGTGAAGTGAAACCACTGACAGTAACTTCAATTAGATGTTTACTAGCTAGATTACATCTAAGCAAAGCTTGATGTCTGCTGCTCAGGCTGTTTCTATGACAGCAATGCCAGACATGGGGCCTTCTCTTTGTCTTAATGCCACCACAGCCAAGCCAGAACAATCCCTATGGCCACACCCCAAGGCAGACAGCATCTCCCTCAGTGTCACGCTCATCGGCACCTGTACAAACTTTGCAAGGCCCAGCTCTCACTGTCAGGAAAGTGAACACAGCCACGTGTTTTTACATTTCAGTGTCCTTATTACAAGAAGCTTCACTCTGGGTAAGGCACAAACCCCAAGAATACTGGCCTTGCATCCAGAGCACCCACTGGAAAAGGTCATTTGTTTCAAAATGGTAACTAGCCTCAACTTCAAGAATCAGCATACAAGTCTGTTAAGAGTTTGACAGATGGCAGGTAGCCACTCCTAGTCTCCCTTTCCATCAGGAAAATGCTTATCCAAGGCTGTCACATCTATTAGGCAATGCCCTTGGCTTTTCTTCTTTGTTAACTTTTGGTCATTCCTGTGTTTGTGTGTCAATCTGTCCCGAGTTTAGATGCTTATTTTGCCAAATCATTTCCATACATACAGACAAACGTGGAATGCCTGAAATATGCAAAAGGCATTAGACCTCAATCTGGATATAGACATGATTCTAAATTCACAGTGCCATCTTGTGTACAAAACCTAAATGTTCTGAAATACTTTTTAAAAAAGAAGGTCTGCTTCCTCCTCTATCCAAAGTAGCTCAAGACATCATTACCCGTTTTTACCTGCACAATAATGTAAGCCAGTTCTCACTACGTCTGTTTAAGGACACATTGCACTTAATTAAACTTTTGAAAAGGGAGGTGGGAATTTGTCTAAGTCTTACAAACCAACAACTTCTGAACACACCAAAGTCACCAGAATAATTCTAGAGAGAGCACAGCCACCGCAGCCTGAGGAACATCAGCAACCTATTGGAAAGAAGCAGAGCATGTTCATTAGGCAGAGACTTCAACAACAGATGACAGCAAATAAGGGATATCTTCATGTGGAGATGTTTTTTATGTCTGCTTATTATTCACCTAAGGGCAGCCACTGATAGCATAAGCATATTTTGTGATTTAATTAGAACACAGTATTCTACCATTCATATGAGAGATGAGGATTTATTTCCCTTGTTAGTTTGGAAGAAAGGAGGTAAGGATCTTTTCCTGGAGGAACTTTCCATGAATGTATCTTTCTATTGTTAATATTAAGTGCTACATCAAGAGTACATACACATTCACAACATCATATTTCACACAATTTTATTTATAAAATTGTAATTATCTAACAAATTGCATATAAAATGATTTACTTCAAGTAAATACAGAATACTGCACAACTATTAAAACTATTGTATTGTCCATCATAAGTGTATTAAAACATTCCTAAAAAATGCCTCTATTAAAAAACAAAAACCCAGGAACACAAGTAGCATGACCAAGACCATTTTCAATAGCTTAAAATGAATTACCAGGAAGTTGCATTAACTTCCTAAGTAGACTCCAGTTACATCCATTGAGATCAGCATGTGATACAATACCACAGTATAATGCTAAAGATGACAAGTAATATATTATGCACCTGATCTATGCTTTTCTCCTAAATTGAAGGGAACCAGTCTGAAATCAGAAAACTAAAGCTCAAGTCAAACTCTACTGGGCATGCAGTTCTGTTATAGCAATACTTTCAATCGGTAAGTGTAGTTGGCTTTTACAATCAATTTTACAACTGATAAAAAAGGAACACAAGAGAATACATTCGTATAAAAAGGAATGATACACAAAGGGTAAATATTGACACCTTGCTGTACATCTTCAGATGAACCAGAGAGAAAGATTCAGCTGGAGCTAATCTGGAATATACGTATCAGAAACGGCTCTGAGTCACAAACCCACATCCCAATCTCCCCAGAGCTCAAGGTCCATCTCTACTATGTACACAGCATGAACATGAACACACATACAGGTGGAGCTTTTTATTAACACACTTATATTGCCAAAACACAAAAGACAGCTAGCAGTGCCGCCTCGTGCACACTAGTAGTACAACACTTCTTCATGTACTGCCTGTTAAGGGAGACAGATTTTTTTGATTTCTTTTTTTTCAAGGGCCAAAATTTGGTAACTAATGGATCAAGGTAGTATTATTTAATTTGTTTTAGACAGTTTCATCACCTCTCACAGGTATCTGAAAAAGATTCAGAGAAAAAACAAAAATGGGAGGAACTGGAACATTCAGCAGTGCTTGATGCCTTTTGAGGTCTAATCTCCTTCCTAGGTATTTGCAGAACTGCTATTTCAATGCACCCAAAGGACATACACAGCAAGAAGGGAAACAGAATCAAAACTTCAGACAACAGTTTCTCTCGTAACCAACCATATTGACCAAGACCAATTTTAACAAGGGCATCTCTAAAGTAGTAAAAACACATATTGATGTCCAGGACAGTTCTTATAGCACCATGTTTAGTCCTGCCACAAGTGATGGCAACTTCTCATAACTGGTAAGAGGTGCTGCCACCAACTCTCCACTTCACAGTCTAATGCTGTTCTAACACCAATCAGCAAAGGGAAAAGGCAAGGGAGGTCCTGCCACTAACCAGGGCCCAAAGGGTTGGCCAGGGCTTCACCTTCCTCAGGTGCAATCACCCACCCACTGGGCAGACACACGAGTGCAGGCAGCTGAGGTGCTCTTGCTGCTCCATCAGGGCGAGGGACAGCCCTGACAACCACTCAGGACTCAGAAGCAAACTCTCCTGGTGGACACCTTTCCTCTCCATAATAAACACTTTCAGGGTGAAAAGCAGTAATGTGCAAGAATCATTTAATCTGCATGCTATTATTTACAATTCAAACACTATTTACACACCAGAACTACAACAAGCATCTCTCTCAAAGGGGAGAGAAGAAGGCTTTCAGGACAGAGTACACTTGAGCAAGCACCCCCACAGCTTCAAATTCTAAGGGGCACAATCAAAATTATAGATTTTAAGCAAAGAGGTCCTACTGCTACCAAAATAGATACAAAGAGATAAATCAAACATTTGTCCATCGGGCTATTAATCAAAAAAACCCCAAACCCAAACAACAGAAAGGCCTGTGAATACAGAGAGTATTTAGAAAGCAGACGAGCAAGGACTGTGATGTCCCTCTGGCAGGGCTCAATGGGATATATGGAAATAGCTTTAAAGCCAGTGCTGCTGCTGAGCTACCAGAGTCCTCATTAGCAATGCCACTACTCCACAGGAATCACCCAGCAAACAAAGCTGTTTCCCACTCTGTAAGGCTGACAACAAACTTCTGAACAACTAGTGCACATTAATTATGCTGATCTCTGAATTCACATCTACCCCACCACCACACCAGGCAGGCTAAAAATTGCTATGGAGTCCTAGCGCCTACGACATCTTATTGCTTTAGACACTGAGCCCACATAGCCAGCAGTTGTGCTTTAGTTGCAGCTCACGTGAACTTCTCAAAGTTTCCTGGAAGAAAGTTTGTTTGTATTTGGCAGGCTCTGACAATAATACATTGACTTCCAAGGCCTCCCACAAGCTTTCCAAACTGGACACCTATGCTGCTGAGTAGCTATTGATGGGACATTTCTAGGACATCTTACCTGATCTGTAGACAAAAATAATGGGGATTTAAATGTGTAACATAGACAGCTAATCCTAAACATTCAGTGCATATCCATCAAACAATGCAAAAATGAGTAAATAAGTATCTCTTGGGAATGAGGGAGGAAGAAGGATCAACATCTGCAGCAATAAAGACGAGCTCTAGAAAAGCAAGTTATTTAGTGGTTTTTGTAAGAACAGTCAAGTCATTCTGGGATTCAGCAGAAGTGTTGAACATTTGTGTGTAGACGTGCAAGTTGTGAGAGCAAGAATTGCTCAGCTTGGAGCATTTACCCTCCTATTAGTCTGACAGACACTGCAAACAGCAGAGCCAGCAGACTGGAACTCTGAGAACAGTGTGACAAGACAGAAGGCCAATACAGTACAACTGCAGAGATTCAAGTAGAAGAATGGAGCTATCTTTAGAAACTCAGAGCAGCAACAGCAGCATTCAAGATCAGTGGCAACAAGGAATGTTTCTGTAATTAGGCTTTTTGTTTTCCCTCCAAACCAAAGCCCAGGATCACAGTCAAGGCTCTTTGGTGGAGAGGTTATTTCCTCAACCCCACTTCCCTGATTCCTCCCTGCACCATTCTGTCTCAGCGCAGCAAGACTGGTGCTGGTGATCTGTCTGTCCTGCCACTATCAGGCAAAATGCTATGTCCCTCTGGGGGGAAAGAACCAGTAATTCCTCAAGTCGAGGAGTGGCTAAGAAAAACATAACGCTGTGCTGAGGTGGAGCCAACTTTATTAAGGACAATGAATTATAATTGCTTTGCAAGGCTTTAAAAAATACTCTTGAGTCATGGCTGGCCTTAAACAGCAGATACCAAGGGATATGGAGGCTGCCTGATTCAGAGCCAGTCAGTGGGAGTTAACCAGAAGAGGATGAGGTAATGCTCAAAGATGGGAGGACAACGGGTCTGTCTGAGGCATCTGTGAAGCACCAGTGTGCCCATCACCAGCCTTCAGAGGAGAGAAAAACCATGGCCAACTAAAGCACAGAAAGGCAAAATGTGTAAGGGTACATATATACATTTGTTTAAGAGTCACAGAACCAGAAAGAGCCTTAACACGTAATCAGATCCGCCTTCTATCTATCCCCCAGACCAGGAAGCTTTGAAAGCAATGTGTTCCTCTCTTCTACTCCATATACCTCCTGTTTTAGGAAACTCAACTCGGAAAGATGTTATGTTCTTACAAAGTGCTACACACCCTTTGCCATTGTCTGACGAAAGCAGCTTTCAGGACTAGTATGGAGATATTGAGAAGGGTAATAAAACACACTAAATTTATACAAAGTGCAATAAACTACCCAAGCCATGGTTAGGTCTTAAGTTCACTATTATTAGTGAAGAAGAACAAATCAAAAGTGCTAAGCTGGATGGAGCCTGATCTAAGTCTTCTTCCACTATTTGTGCTTTTTTCCACATTCTGCTTTCTTGTTTCCAAATCAAAAGAGTCTATCTTAGCCGATCCTAAGAAATACTTCTATTTAAAGACTTTTATACTGTTGCTTCAAGAAAGCTCTTTGTTGCCTTTAGAGTAAAAAAGGAAGATACCTCTCCATAGCATTGATTCGTTCACTGGAGGTAAGTATTTACTCTGGCAAAAACTGTTCTCTCCAACTTCCAAGAGAATGGGATATGATCTTTCCATAATCACATGCATTTATCAATAAATAAGTTTGGATTAGACTGTATTAAAACATATGCACATATTTAAAGCACTGGAGTGTCACAGATTCTTATTCCACAGCTCATGCAAGTAAAATGAATTAAAGAAAAGAAAAAGAAATAAAGACCAAAGCCCCAACCAGGAACAGACCAAAGAAACAAGCTTCACATGAGTATGTCAAAGCATTAATATTAGTGAGATCCCTAAATAAATTAGGTTACACTAAATTTCAGAGAAACAAAAGATTTTGCCATATCAGATACATACGTTTTGATTTTTTAAAGTTAATATATAATTCATTCTTTGAATATTATTCTTCACTTGGACCCAGCATCCACACTGCTTTCATACATTTATACAGTTATATCCCATCCTCGCCTTAAGAGACTGATATCCAAAGGTATGGCAGCAACCCTTGTTTGTTAAATATAAAACTCCTTTCCCTTCATACAAGGGAGGAGAAGGAAGAAAGATCTTGACAAAACTAAACAATTCTCCCTTCTGCTGATTCCAACCTCAAAGTACTACAGGGAGATAATTGGAAGCTTGCATAAAAAAAAATTTCCCTTGTTTTAAAAACAGTTTCTTTTACAGTACAATAGATGCATAGAAAGTTGCTTCCTGCTTCATGGGTTTAGGCGTGTAGCTATGTTTAGCTGTGAAAACAAGAAGATTGTTCCTCTACAGAGTGGTGAGGAGATAGACCATCTCAGGAATATTTGGCAGCTATCAAACAGCTCATGACATGAAGAATAAACAGCATATTCACAGACTACAACAATGCACCTCTGTCTCACTGAATACACCAATTTTAAAAAGTGTCCACTTGTTACTCAAAATCAAGAATACAGTAGAGATTCACGGCTCAACAGCTTTCAAAGTGGTGGTTTAGAAGAAAAAAAAAAAAAGTCAGTGAGCAGCAGATTTTCAATAGCCCACTCTTCTCTCCCCCACCCCAAAAAACCACAAGTTCACTGCAATATCAGGAACTTAGGGTTGAGACTACTTGGGAGAGAAGGTTTCCCTGTCACCCATGTCCATACAGCTTGGTGTCGGAATGACACACTGGAGGTTTCAGAGCGTTTCAGTTGTCCAGTGTCTTGTGGTTACTTCAGCAGTTTTACCAGCTGGCTCTGACAGCCTCAATGTCACTAACCAAATTCTGGGCTAAGCATATCCCAAATATCTGGAAGAGACAACAGTTTATTCATTTGGAGCATTGGACAACTCTTTTTACACAGGCAAACTCGTTAGGTTTATACAGAACTTAGATATGAAAGAAACAATAGAGGTAGACATTAAATTAACAGTAAGTGTTGGAAGAAGTAAGAATATTGCAGAACTCCTGAACCCCAGTACTTTTATGGTGGCACCAGGTTCCAGTTACTTTACAGTTCTAGTCTTGTTTCAAAACAACCCTAAAGGCTCTCTGCTGCTCATTTAAGCACCACTGGAAACAGTAGGTCTGTACAGGCTCGAAAGTCTCTACATAAGCTTTATCTAACAGAGCGTTAGTTTCAACCTGCTGAGAGATGAAAAGAAAAAAATGCATCCCTGTAGATAAAAATTAAATATTCCTTAACACAAAGAAAGCCTCGTACATTTAGTTCCCACTGCTAAAACCCACAAACTGGCAACTGGCACTGCATTTCCCATTCTCATATACAGTCTCCTCCCTCATATATTCACTTTATCTCTTATTCTTCTGTGCAACTCATTCCAGGGAACATGATGTTTACCTGCAGTAATGCTATCCCAATGAATATACCAGCAACTATGGTAAGGTTGTCCTGCAACCATTTCTCAAACTGAGGGACACAGCCTTTAGTGTAGATAACAATCTGCTGATCAACTTCCTGCCAAGGAGAAGACAGAAGAAAACAGAGATAATTACGTTCAACTACATCAGTAGAATAATATCCTCTTGCAATAGGGATTCAGATCCTTAACATACCACATTAAGAAGGGGAAAATAAAAAAAAAAGCTTACTGGCTTTTGCCTTGCATCGTAGCCACACTGAGTATTAATAACATCTTCCTACCGGAAAGAGAGAGAAGAGAGAATCAGTAAAATGTCTCCCAAACACCTTCTTCCAACTCCCTGGAGTTGGTCCTGTATGTAATAAGACAAATCACCCAAACTTTGGTTAGCATATTGCTTTAATAAAAAAAAACCTTCCTCCTTCACTCTGCGCTATTAATTATTTGCAGCAAACAAGACCACACAGTCAAAAAAATATTTATCTCTCAAGTCAGCAAGCTGGGAAAACCAGCCTTCCACCTGGGTGAACTCCATGTTCCAGATACAAGCATTTAGTAAAGTAAAGGGACTGGGGAACATCTATGGTTAGCGAAAGAACCTTCTGCTGAAAAGATTTTGTCTGTACTAAAAAATATGCCAAAAGTACTGTTATCATTTTCAGGGTTCAGTCTGTTCAGAATGAAGAGGTGACAGGGGCAGTTAGTTCTGTTGCAGAAGCTTTAAGTTCTTAGAATACATCTAGAAATATGTACAGTTCCTTTCCAAAAACCTGAAAGAAAAAAGAACAGATGGGGTAATGTATTCTCACTGTCTGTTCTTTCTTATAGGAGTTTGATACCAATGGGAAAGAAGGATTTTTTCCTACTCCCTTTCCTTTAGTACTCCCAAAGCACAGGTAATAAAATAGGCTTTGGCAAACTTTCCCTACTGAACAAGTGCTTCCCACTGGCAGCTGTAAGCTGTAGTTTTACTTTGTATACAGTTATTTCATTGTAAAAAAATGAAGCATGAAACTTTTGGCATCAGCCACAATGGCTGCAAAATATTAAGTTACTGACTTATCATATGACAGTGGAAGGACTACTCAAGAAAGTGAGAAAATCAGCCAATCTTCGCTAGGTGTACCAAATACCATAACTTAATCCAATTGCGAGGAGAAAGGCAAGCAGTGAAGAAATGGATTTTAAAAAGCAGCCATATGGGAAAAAAGCATCTCCTATCAGCACGGAAAGCTCCTCTGTTTCCTCACTTTGCAGAAAGTCCAATAAGTTGCATTCTGTTGGCTACCCAAACTGAATTCCCTTAATGGACCTTCAAAATTCGAGCAACTTGTATCTCCTAATGAGATTAATGCTTCTGTTCCAGGACCTAAGTGCCACAGACTACAAGGACATAAAAACACCTAAGATTCTGATAGAGGGATTTTAAGTTTTCTTCTTTGTACCAAATGTCTACTTGTTTAATCATAAAGGTATTCTGCTTTTAGCCTTGGAATTTGTTAACCAAAAGGAGGTATGAAAAATGCAATGGAAATAAAGTTTTCTAGACTTCCCTGTTCAGAAATTTAGACCACTTCAACCTCCATAACTACATCAAAATGAACTATAGTAGTAAAAATTTGTTTCAAGAAACTTATTTTAGCCTGCCTTAAACTTATCACTTCCAGATTCAAGCAAAACTAAAAACAAGAAGGCATCCACATAACTGCATCAGTCCAACACTGAAATGCAATTCTAAAAGGGACAAGTTTGCTTTCTCACAGAATAAACTTGTGTTTAGCACTGCAATTGAACTAATCACAGCTTGGTCACAATTATTTTACTTGTATGCATGACTTCTAATGTTTTCGGTTTTTAAAGGCCATTAAGGTTGTTGTTTCCTTACAGTGAATGAGATTTATCTTTAAATTTCTGGTTGCTGCATCACAGCCTACCAAAGTGCAGAGCCATTTAAACAACAGAGAGAAAGAGAGAACATTAGAATGGATTATGTATTTATAGGATTACCTTGTACTGCTGTCACTAGTTTGGTTTTATAACAACTATATTTTTAAAACTGGGTTGTATGACCTCTGTGTGGGTAGGTGGGCAGATAAGCAAACAGCAGAGAGAATCCTAAGCATAAGATAATGTTTGAGCCTAACCCACATTTTGTTTTATTTTGTTTTAACATCCCATGAAAACATTTTCAGCTGTGTTTGCAAGAAAAATTCAAATTACTGTGAAGACACATTCACTGCAGAGGAACCAGAACCAGCTTGTGCCAAGAGGCAGTGCCTTATCAGGACAGGGGGAGAGCAGCAACTGGATGCCAGGAGCAGCGACTGCATTGCATTATTAGCAAGGCAGGAAGCACCTGAGGTACCTTTTGGCAACTTGCCTAACTTCAGTCTGTGCTAGAGTAATACATTAAAGGAACTCTAAATCATTCCAGGTGGAGACAAAGCCACAGCTGAATTTCTAGATAATACAAGCACTCAAAGCCAGCTTCTTTCAAGCTATATAAAGTCAAATGTATACAGTGTTAGGCATGTAACAGCTTCCATGCACATACTCATCCCCTGTTCCAAACCTTTCACTATTAGTGAACTGATTCTCTACACTTGACTTTTCACTTTATACTTGACTCTTCTTTATCATATCCATATTAGCAATTGCATGGCTCCAACATTTTCCACTTGATGATCCAGATCTATAAATATTTTAAAAGACATGAAAATTTACCAAAAAGCTGCTCCCACAAACCATTTCTGACCTTTCAAATCTGATTTCAGGTGACTGTAGGACAGGCAGTAATTTTAAAGGTAAAAAAAAGAGTAAGTAAATGCACCCATACCCAACTCAAGGTTCTAATGCAAACATGTCAGTTCCTCAGGGCACAGACTTTGATTCCTTACCATACCTGGCACAACTGGGTCAAACTGGCTGCAGCCTCAGGACACTGCATTAAATAATGAATAATACCTCCTTTAAAGTGTCTGATCTTAAGGGTTCCTATTCTGATGAATTTCAATTGAAAGCTCACATCCTTCAATTCATTAAGGGCTTCTCCTTTTTGTACTTGCTAAAATTGATATGTATGTTCAGCCAAGCCCATGGTTCTCTCTAATAAAAGTCACAAACAAGGAAGACTTAAGTTATCTTTTGAGTTTTGCTCACTGCAGGAAAGTTAGTGGTTAAGCTGAGCTGCAAGAACAAAAAAAATACAGGTTGGTGAGAAGTTAATCATAAGGCTAAATTTCCAGAAATAATAAAGGAAATCTTGAAGAGTTATTTATGATTGGAACAGCAGACCCATCCTACCCTCTAGACTGTCACTTACAGCAGGGTCTTTAGTACAGCAAGAGAATGGCACACCACAGCGCTCTCGACTCGCATTGGAATCTGTACAATTGAAGTAAATATTAAGGTTCCAGTCATCGGCTCCAAAAGCCCCACAGCACTGCCACTAGAACAAAAAAAAAACCAAAAAAAAAAACAAGAAGAGCTTCTTAAATTTCAGAATGAAAATCTCAGCATTAGTAACATGCATCAGTGCTGCCAGTTTCCCTCTAGCTTTCAAAACAAAACCTGAGACTCCCACTGCTTTTATTGAAACTGGCTTTTTCTTTGTTTGGTTGGAGATTTTTGTCATTTTTTAAAAATACCATTCCAAATGTGTAAGTTGTTCCAAAGTTTTATCATGTGACTTAAGTTACATTCACACCCTGCTATGCTGGTCTCTGGAGAGAAACCCATGGGTGAGCTGATAAGCCTACACAATAACACAGAGTTGCACAGGTCTACAAGCTCAGGCCTGAGGGCCAAAAGTACAATGTTCTGTCCAGTCTAATGAGCCCTGGATTTTCAATAAAACAAGCTGTACACTGATACTGGCTACACTGGTACAGCTACTGCTTTTGCCAGTTTGGGGAAACTTTGCCTGGCTGTACATTGGACAGTGTGAATACATTGTTCCCCAAGCATCATACGTGGCACAGTTAACACCTTTACCGAATCCTTCAAAGAGTAAATCTGCCAAAGACAGGCTTAGTCTCTGGCAAAGCATGTTGAACACATGAGGAATTTATGTCTTTTGCAGAACATATAAAGAATGGACTAGAGAACAGTAAAGCACTGATGGCTTACAGCATCTAAAGAGGTAGACAAACTTAAAAAAAAATCCAAAAGAACCAAACCAACCACATTTTTAAAAGCATTAGAATAGTCATTCTCTCTTTCTAGATGTAGCAGTTCTCTGCAATACCTGACACATTGTCTTCATGCACTATCTCTACTTAAAGAAGTAACTCGTTCTCACAACTCGTGCTGCCTCTGGCTTATCTGCTGAGTGCTAATCCAGTTAGGAGAGAAAGCTTTAGGAAGTCACTGCAAAATTGGGCTGTAGCCTTTGGCTGCATACAAGTGGACCCTACTTTCCGTTTGTAGTGACCTCTGACCTTCTTGCAAAAGGTTCAAAACAGTGCAAGGATCCACATCCTGTTACTTACCATTTTTCCCCCAGGCACAAAGAAGCAAATCAAGCATTGAAACTACTTTAATTGCAGAATGTAAGAAAACCAGTAAACATGAATTCAACCAACACTTAGCCATGTTAGCCACACAGTGCCAGATTCAAAGAGGACTTCATCAACACAGGCCAGAACTGTGTACTGGAGAGAGAAAGTATTGGCAGATATTGTGTGCAAAAGTCAGTGCAAGACTTCTTTACATACACTGATAAATTAGAGAGCTTAGCCTGCGCAAACAGGTGCACCACTGGTTTCACCCTTCCCTCCCAAGTGTAGATGTGTCATCACTTGGAGATGTCTTACAAGAACTCTTCAAGTCACCCACTTCATTAGGCTAATTCCATTAAGTCTAATTCTGAAGAAATAACATAGTAGTTTCATTTGGATCAACTAAATACTCTGCCACTCTGCAATGTGGTGTAGCAATTCTAATGTTGCTAAAACTACACCAACATTCATTTAGGACCCAACAAAACTTAGAAAAGGAGTAATTTCTTAAATAGTGATAGCTTCTACAACAAAATATTTTAACTTGGTGCATTTGACACACTAAGTCTTCAAGAAAAGTCACCCCAGCTCTCCATCTTGTTTTACTCAGTCATACATCAATAAAACCACTTTACATAGGTGCTGTGTTTGCTGAAGTTCTATAAAAGCAGATGTAGATATATTCAAAAGCATTATATGCTAGAATATTTCTGTTGCTCCTTGACAAAAGACGGAAAGTAAAAAGTAAGAGCAGGTATTTCTTAAAAGTAAGCTTTAAAAAAAAAAATAAACATAGTCCAACTTACATATTCCTGTGTGAAGTCTATGAGGTTTTGTAAATCAATGTCATCTCGGTATGCTCTGATGTTGTTGTTGATAAAGAAATACAGCTGGTCCTTTATCCAGTCTTTGAAAACAAATGCTAGAACACCAGCAGTGAGCTCCAAGAAGAAAATAATTCCAAGAAATACAGAGAACTATGAAGAAAATAAAAAAGGCTAAAATTACTTTCCTTTATGACCAAAACTTCTTTAAAGCTCACAATTATATCCAGTGATAAGGCTTTATCTGGTTCAGTGCAAGTTCAAGCCATTTTGGCACATAAGAAATTTTAAATTAAAAACACACCCTATCTATTGCAGCTGTAGCACAGAAATCTTAATTCTATTCTAACAAATAACAAAAATGCTAACAAATCTAGGACATTTACAGTGAATTCTCTTGGATCTCTTTGAAAATCTCAGTGAAATTTCAAGACACAGCTAGTGATCACTACATGTAGTGCCCTTGAAAACCCATCTTCAATTTTCTACATAAGCACTTATATTCTAGAAGGCATAAACAACCAATAGTGCCAGTAAAATGCATTCTATGTGACTTTTGCTTTAGATCCTCTCACTGGCAAAGCTTCCCCTAAGCAGACAAAGCAGAAATTGGTAACAGCAGAAATTAATTAATGACTAAGTCTGAGCGGAATGTCTATGAAATGACTCACATCTACATTAAAACTAAATGAGGCTGCTATGATTAATGCAAATGCAATGAATGCCAAAGGAATTACTAATGATCTGCCACTTTCCCTAAGCATTTCCACTGAGTCAACACTGCTTTGAACTACACAGGGGTCCCGGTATACTGGCAGTCCATCCCCTTTGCAACTGTGCCTTTGAGTTTCATTTTAATACGCTCTCTGTGTGTGTTCAGATACATTTTTAATTTCTCTTGCAGCTGCTGTATGGGAAGCTATTTCTGGTACAGCAGATGGGTTCATTTTAGGCAAGCTATGAGAAGCAAGGAAGAAGAAAAAAAGTGTTACAAACAGCTTTATAAATGCCTCGAGAAATGTGACTCTCAATTGCCTCCTCTCCTTATACACCATGTCTGTGGGAGCCAAATGTGTCACTTGGAGGCAGTTATTTCGCTGCAAGCTTTTTCATGTATATATTTAGAGTTAATGGTTATGAAGACACAACTGTGTTCACAGGTTGTGCCCACCTCTGGAAATGGGAGTGGTGGAGTAAAGAATCTTCTTTACTATAAATCATCAATTTATCTAAAAGTGAACATGATAGTGTTACCCTCATTTTCAAAAGTCACAGTCTTTCAAAATACTGAACCCTGTTACTTACCTAAAGAAGTTCTGCATACTGAGGTGCATTTGTATACCAGCAGTTCATTCCCTAACCAACAATCCAGCCCAGAGTTCAAGAAAACCTCCATTTTCTTTCCACATCCTGGACACATTCTCCTCCCCTTGTCCTTCTCAGGCCCCAGCACTGAAAGCAATGAAGCCTTTCCCAATTAGCTGAATGGCACAGACCGAATATATCAGCCAGACTGAGGATATTGTAACAATGCTAAGTCCTCTGCACCATGAGGCACAGCAGAAGTCACATGGGTCACATTCACTGCTGCATCTATACCCCTCATATTTCATAGGCAGCTTGTAATGGACTCCAAGATCAACACACAGATTTCTCACAAAACATTTCTTTTTGTGACAGTGAAGCAAAATGTTAGGCTATATCCATACGAAAAACAGTACTTCCATGATATGGTTCTTAACACGAATAGTTTTGAGCTTTTAAAAAACACAGCCAGTAAGCACTAGAGACTGTAGAGCTGTAATGTGTTAAAAGCTAAGTGCATTCCTGGTACTCTGACACTGGATAACACCTTCGTCTCCAAAATGCATTTTAAAAACCTAACAGAGTTAAACAGAACAGTCAACACAGCATGCTACATGAATGAAGAATATCACAGATGCAAAAGCTACTTACAAATTTGAGAAGAAACGTGTTTTCGCGTAAAGCTCCAATGCATCCTGCAAATCCCAAAATGAACATAACTCCTCCTACCACCAGGAAGAGCCAAACAGGATCAAAACCTCCCAGGTCAGTGATGGAGGAGATATTGGACAGCACTCCCTGAGAAAGAGACAATGCCAAGGGATAAAAAGAATGTTCAGCTTTCTGTTGTACAAATTCTGCCCGCATTTTTCTTCTTAAAAAAGAAGACTACAGCAAAATAAATGTTCTGCAGTACAGCAAGAAAACACAATTAAGAAAATCTTTGTATCCCAAAAGAGATAAAAAGTGCAATTATGTGCAGTATTTCTGTATCGACATGTGAACGAGTAACAAAATGTTCTTGAAAAATTATCTGTGAGAAACCCACAGGGCATCTTCTGCTTATTTAACTATAAGAAGTAGTCTGCCAGAAACTCAGAACAGATATCTGAACAAAACTTAACTCACTCTTACCACTCATGCTGAGATGCATTTTACATATCATATACATCATCTATGTAAACACACAGTTACATCTTATATAGAAAAAGTAGTTAAAAATAATAAAGCCACCTTGAATTTAGTGTTTATTCTCAGTATTTAGAGCAATTGTCAGAAATTAGAAGTGAGCTCCTAGCACATTACAACAAAAAATTTTTCAACAAATTTTGACAAACTATATATCTGGCCAAGTCAATTTCAGGCATCTACAGTGCCAAAACCTCACTCTAGAAATAAAATACGGCTACTGACTAATTAGTTAGCAGGAAAGATTTGAAAATATCCAAATCTCCTAGTAGGATGAAAGACAATTTAAGAACTTGTCTTGGGACGTGGCTTACACTAACTTAGGGTAGACCTATCATATGTTAAACCACATATGCTGTGTTTTAGATATGACAGTCAGCACAGTCTGCTTGTGATGCCATTTTTGCCTTGGAAGCAAAGCTGGGGTTGCGACACGAGTGATCTTGAGGAACTATTTTGATTTTCTGAACACATTTTAGGCAGAGTTTGGCTGATGTTGAACAGATGGGTTGTATCAAGAAGCAAGTACAAAGTTTATCCTATTCCAGTGAGTTTGCACAGGAACAACTACAGTTTCCTAAGGCTTTTTGGCAGAAAAAAAATGCTGAAGTGTCACTATTTCTTCATTCTCCTCCCCAGTGCTGCAGGTCAATACAAAGCACACTGCTGTGTTTCCTCACAGAAGTCTGAATCCAGGCTGAGTGCTTTGGACTACTGCTTCCTCTAACTCCTACATGATGCTGTGGCTTGAGAAGCAGCAACAGAGATGTCTACACCTACAGCTCCTTATTTGCAAAACTCTACAATACCTCCTTTTTCTTCTTCCTGATCATACCCCTTTGTTTCTTCGAAATGGTCCCAAAACATCAACACTTCAGAGGGAAGTTACCACCATCTCATTTCCAGAAGTTTAAAGTAACATTGTTAATGATCACTCTTCACAACTGTGGCTTTAGACCTGTGGTTATGTACACACTCATTTTGGACCACTCAAAACTCATCAATTGTAACCAATATCTTTAACACATTGCTTCCTGTAATCTGCAACCACTTTCATAGTTTCCCAAGCAAAACTTGAGCAGGTAGTAAATAGAGTATCAATGCTTCTAATTCTGTAGACAAGGACAGAGTACATAAAGTATACATGTGAATTTCACCAATGCACATCAAGGAGCCTTAGAAAAGGCCAAAACCCCCCCCAAAAAAAATCTGACTACAACCCAATCCTAAAGTACAAACGATAATCCAACAGCATGGATTACATTCTCTAAATATATTCTTTTCCCTCCTACTAGAGAAGGCTATTGCCTGAGAAGGATGAAAAAGAAATTTTAAAAAATAAATCACATTCATCACTTTCCTCCTACATCACATACAGTACTAGCTTTACTGTCATTCATTCAAAAAGTAAAAAGAGATGTAAGGAACAATGTAACATAACTCAAAGCCTGCAATCAAAACAGAGCAGGTGCCATCTCAGCAAGATGATAACACACCAAGATGAAATGAACACTTACCTGTCATTAAGGTTCAAAAGTTTTTCAACTACTTTTGTTTCATTACATTTGTCATAGAAAAGAAATCCAAGCCAACTTTCTGACTAAGAATAACAAGCAAAATAAACAGGATAATCCAACAACACAAAACCTTTGAAAAAAATCAAGGCCTTGGCCGTTCACAAGTCAAGAAGCATGAGCTCTGCTTCAAGGGGAAAAACAACTACGAAAATTATTTCTTCACAAAGTTTTAAAGTCCTTTCCTCTGTGCTTATATAGTCAACCTAAGAACGAATTCTGCCCTAAAGCAAGCACTACTATTTTAACATTAGCCAATTTTGGAATCAATGGACTGTGGTATAGTAGAATGAAAAAAACTAGCCACTGGAGAAAGGATGTTACTTTTGTTATTACTCGTATTTACTTTTAAAAATCAAAAACATATGAACTCTTCATAAGACACTTTGTCTTTCTTTAAAAACAAAGCAAACAAAACCAAATAAATCAACAAAAAAACTCAAAGCAAGTTACTACGCTAAATCAACTTCTTTCCATATGAAAGTAGTAAAATTCAAATGAAAAGAAATCCAAGTAAAATTCAGCTCACATTTTTGGACAATACTGTTAAACAATCATAATACAAAAGTGGTAGTAAGAAACACACCACTTTGCATTTTGTCACAGTCACATTAAATTTGATGGCAATAAAATTCATTGAGCCAGTTTTATACTGTTTTTCCAATCCTGCCGTTTTTCACTTTACTTGATTTTTTAGAACTGCCAGGCTCTTAGAAGTCTGTAATGCCACATGTTGGCTGGCCACTCCTCAGGGTAGCTGTGATCCAACACAAACTGCATAGAACAACCCAGGCTTTATCTGCCATTGTTTGCTGTCCTTGGAAAGCACCTTCATGTGCATCTGTTGCTAGTCCACAGATGGCAATCATAAGCCTAGCTTGGATAAATCCCAAATAGCACATCCTGACAATGCAAAGCACATACTGCTTAATTCTTGCTTGTACTCTGTATGCTCTTGGCATATGAACTGCAAGTTATCAGTATTCTGGAGAGACATCTCAGGATACACGATCTTCAGAGAGGTTTTGTCAATAAAACAATAGCTAGCAGTGGGAATGAGAAACACAGACAATGCTCTGTGATTACAGCTCAAGATACACAGAAGTAGTCCAATAGAAGATTACTGCTTACTGCTTAGAATAAAGTTTTCCAGTCTTGTACTCTAGACACTTAGAAATATGCTCTCTCTGTAGATGCAGCAGTGCAATACCCTACAGAAAAGCATATTTTGCTTCAAGCAGCAGGGCAACAACTGGGGAATAATATCTCACTTTATATTGTTAAGAAGATCTAAATGTACAGTCCTCTAGGCACATATTCTTCCTATCCACTACAAGTTTCTATAATGCTTATAATACCTACTACCACAATATCAATTATTTTTTGGCTGCAACAGCTACTGCTGGGAAAAGTTTGATACAGATGTACAAACATCTGGTAGTGACCAATTCTGTCCTCAACCCATCTTTAGCCAAAAGCAGAAGGAAACATTTCCAGAGGTGCTTGAGCACAGGATCAGTAACCTCATTCTAACACCGCACCCTCCACAACATGCTCTGAATCCTCAGGCCGAGCAGTCAGCCATGGATATATGGTGACTGTTTAGGTCTTGCACTGAGGCATAATAGAAGTCGACAAACCACCTGTAAATACTTTAAAGTAAGACTTTCTATAAATGCAAGGTATTTTTCCTCAGCAACACTACTGTAGTTGCCCACTACAACCACGACTGTTAAATCATTGTGAGTACTCTGATACTTTAACATCTAAAAGGAGGAGCAATTTTTTGCCTCTAGACGCATTCTTGTTTTGAAGTATGGTTATTTTTGAGGCACATGCACACGTATGGCATGTGTGTAATCTGTATTTGGCAGGAAATGCTTTGTTTTTACAAAGCTACATGCTCAAGAAATTTACATCTCACTATGGCAACAACCCAGGGCTCTACTGTAGTCCCACTAGGAGAGCCAGCAGAACATGTTCCCGGCTGGTCTCCAGCTCATGTTTGCTCTGTTCCTCCACCCTCCATAGCCTGCTGTACATTACAGTCCATGAGCCACTATTTAGTATTTTAATCCAACGCAAGCCAAACTTAATTTGGTGAGGTGAAACAACAACAATATCATCCATAAGTGAACTAAAATAAGTAAAGTTGTGAAAAAAGTTCCTTTATTTGTGAAATGTACTTCAATCATTAAGGTACAACGATGCATGGATGGAACAGGAAAGACTGAACCCACATTTCTACCCCACCCCAAATTCAGGAGAAGTCAAATGAAATGGTTAGGACCTGGCTCTTTTCTTCAACACATGGGTGCATTCCACCAAGAAATGTGAGACAATCAAGCCAAGCACAACAAAAACTCTTGCAGAGTCTTGGAGTCTTCTCCTCCTGGTATGTGAGCAGAGGTAGAAAAAAAGCCTGAGAGATGTCTGACAGCGCCTCTGTTGTCATGTCATGTTTTCCTCATGGCCAGAGCCCTCCACACTACAACCAGGATCACATGTATAGCTTAAGGGAGAAGAAGGCAAAGAGAAAACGCTGGTTTTGAACACAGGAGCTCATGAATGCCCCTCCTGATGTTATAGCTGCACAATCGCTTGCCTTTATCCCATTAATAAAGAATAAGGAAGCAACAGTTACATACAAAAGCAATAAGGGCGTACACCTCACCCCTTTGCCATCTTGTACTCTTTAAGATCATTAGAACAGCTTGTGCTACTTTCCAGAGACAGATCCCTGACTCCACCTCCTGCCTTTGGTGCATATCTACATTAATATTTCAGGTCAGATCCAGCAGTCCTTTTGAAGTGATCACACACAAGCTGTGCTTCAGTTCACACCAGAACAGTCTCAGAGCACACCGACTGGGTTACTTATAAATGGAGATGTGCCCCTGGAACACAGCTCAAGCTCCAGTCACTAGCAGGCATTCAGTCCACAAGATCATACTAGAACAAGGTAGAAAAGAACTCATACCTTTCAGAACCTGCAGTGTGTAGGCTGGATCTTCAGCACTACTTCCTCTCCTGTTG